TTTTACAGCTTCGTTTAACTTAAAACTAACAAACTATTAAACAAGAATGTGTCCATAGTACACGGATGCCCCACTCGTACTATCATTTTCTATGTTCAGCGAACCGTGAAATTGGGGTTAAAACTGTAATTTAGCATTAAAATGAGAAAGATCATATCATAGGGATCATGTGTACTAAGTTTCAAGTTGGTTGGACTTCCACTTCATCAAAAACTACCTTGACCAAAAACTTTAACCTGAAACGGGACAGACGGACGAACGAAGGGACAGACGGACGGACAAACGAACAAACGGACGCACAGACCGAAAAACTGAATGCCCCTAAGTGGCGCCTAAAAAAGGGGGTTAAATATAAATACAAGAAACATTCAATAATCTAATTATCTGATATAAATCAGCTAATTCTGATTCAAGATCGGTCTCTGTTTTAATGCCAAGAAGCCAAAAAATATCGGACGCATTTACAAATGTAACTGGGATGTTGTTTTCCTCAATCTAGATGAATCTATATCTATACACTGTTCCGGCTTTTAAGGTTTACCGTCTATATGAACCGGACAACAGCTTACACCAGTTGGTACTAGAACGGCTTGCGTAACAAACACATGTAATCTGGTCTTTTCTGCATGGCATTGTACCAAATGGATCGACCCTATGTTGTGATACAGATTCAACACTTTCTTGATGTTTTACCTACAGTCACGATTGGTAGTGTAATTTTCTGTGGTGTTGTTTCATTTTCATAGACTTAGATTCCGGTGTAGGACGGTGGTGCAATGTAACAATGCCAGTACTAGTATCTACACAGTTGGTTGATTGGCGATAACATTACTGTCTGCATTTGTTACATATCATACCATTTTCTAAAACGTTCTTGATCAAGATTTAGAAAAAATATTTTTGTTGCTTTAAATTTTCTGCTATGGCCTTTTTTCGTTATGTGTATAACACAAACATTTGGGCTTCATTGCTTTAATCAATTCTCGTGTTATTGGTTATGTACAAGCACCTACTTCAGTGTGACTCTTTGAATTAAACAAACATCCGAAAAAATGTGATAGAAACATAACATTTTAATATTTCAACATAAAAAATGAGAAAAATTAGCGTGAGATTTGAACCCCATCTTAAAAACAATCCATTATTTACAGTTTTAAGCGCTACCGATGGAGCCATGGCGACTCTTGAAAACTTAATTGATATTAAGCAGCTATATAGGTGAAATTTAGTGATGTTCCACTTTTTATTAAAAAAGTTGTATTTTAGGTATTAAGGACACACTAAACCAATTTCATTTTTGAGGGGAAAAGTTGTAAAAATTACAACAACAACAAAAAACATAACTTTGTTTTGGTTTGAAGTGTCCTTCTAGGGGGATTCCCTGTTTTCCAACCTAAAAACACGGTAAATTCCGCTTATTTGACTTTCATCCTTTTTTGGAGGTTAAATTAACTATTTTCCAGACATAACATAATACATAAAAATCGAGATATTGACCAAAAAACATTTTTATTTCTTGTTTTTATCGTAAATTTTATTCTTTCAGCACTTTTTGAAATTGGTCCTTCTGTGAAAAAAATTTCAGGGGAAATTGGCCCTACCTCTTTTCATAAATAGGATAATTAATATGCATAAATTTTACTTTGAATCTCGGTTTCAAAGAAAAACAAATATATTTACGAGATAGAAGTACACTGAAAATTCCTAGGTTTTGTTTTTCTTTTCCAAACATATCTACTTATTTTAATAATGTGATTACTCATTACAACTATCCAGGGCCGTACATTCTGTAGAGGCATGTAGGCAATTGCCTCCTATTGCAGGCCAAAAAAAAAAAAATCAATAAAGAAAAGAAAAAAAAATATTTGTGATCTTATGAAAGCTGATGATGATGATCAAGCTAGAAAACACTGACTTCATCTTTTCTGGAGAAAAGACAGACGAAGCATTTAATAGTCTGTTTTGTAGAGCCGGTCATAAGAACGAAATTAAGATCACCCGCAAACACCTGCATAGCAACAGGATAGGGGAAATGCAGTAGCGGAAACTGTGGAACAGCATTTCGGGATAGACATCTTATCCCAATTGTTCATCACATCAAACTCATAAGCGACAAATTTCCAGACGACTTCAGGCAACGCTTTATGGATTCTATCTATTTCGGATATTTGAAGTAGGATATTCAGGCCCAAGCGCCATAAAACTTTCTGAGTATTTTTTTTTTTTGGCTCAGCCTGAGAATTTTCTCAATTTTTATATTCTCAGCAAAACACACCACCATATTAAGAATATTCTTAAATTTTGAGTATTGCCAAAACCATACCTCAGTATATAAAAAAATGGTTAGATGTTGCTATTGAAGGCAATTTGATAGAAAATTACAACTGTTAATAGTGTTTTTGTTAGAATTTGCATTGACGAACGTCACTATACTGATAGCAAACATTATTTTAGCAGACGACTTTTGACAACAATCATCAAATCTCACATGCATTTTCGCGAAGTTTGGTACACTTTTCTAGTTTTCACACATCCGTATACCGCTTACATCGCTGAAAATATTGTTCTATGGAAGAGAAAAAAATTATCATTCTAAGCCGAGTAATATATTTCATACTGAGAATATTTTTTTTCTCAGAAAATATAAGTTTTATGACGCTGGGGCCAGGACCCTAAGAGGTTCAAAGGTAGAAAACTGTGAATAGTATGAAATACATGCTGCTTTGTATGCACCTGTCCTAAGTCAGGAGCCTGTTGTTCAGTGGTTGACGTTTGTTGGTGTGGTTCATAGGTGTTTCTCGTTTCTCGTTTTTTATATAGATTAGACCGTTGGTTTTCCTGTTTGAATTGTTTTACACTAGTCATTTTGGGGCCCTTTATAGCTTGCTGTTCGGTGTGAGCCAAGGCTCCGTGTTGAAGGCAGTGCTTTGACCTATAATTGTTAACTTTTTATACATTGTGACTTGGATGGATAGTTGTCTCATTAGCACTCATACCACATCTTCTTATTTATATATATGACATCCAAATACACCATACAGTAGAACAAGCGTCTACTCAAGAATATAAAACAAATATGCTTCTGCGAGTACTGCCTCTTTGAATTTGCATGTGCGAGTGATCGTTTTCTGCACTACGACGACTGGACACTTTGAATTAGTCCGAAGTGACTGTGGGGGTCTGGCTTTAATACACATCTTCCAATGAAGAAGGCCGAAACGTACGGAAATTTTATTTTTAAAACTGCTTCTTCGAATGAATGAGATTCTCATCCGTCTAGAATAAGACACTCTTCCATTTATGTGCAAGAAAGTTGCTAAACAAAAATATTCCTGTCTTGGGTTAGACACATACCAAAATGCGGCTGGGTTTTACATGTTCATGAGCACTCAACCCTCCACTGACATGTAAAGTTGTGATGCAACACAACACAACAAAAGAACACTGTAAAAACCATATGGAAAGGTACCGATTCATCAGATTAGCATGTAAACAAATAACAAAAACACAAGATACATATATAAGAGTACTCCCAATTCCTGAAAGCCAGTTCAAAGCCTGGTTTTAACTATTTAACAAACCATGTTCTCTCGGACTAAAATGTCGATCAGCATACCTCCAACGTGTTTCGTGTAAGTCTGAGAAAAGTATGACTATGTTCAATGTTTCTTGTACAGAAAACACGAGAGAAACGTAATGCAATGTGTTCGTAAAGTGTGTCATTGGTGAACTTTCTTGTACGATCCTTAGGACATAAACTACAATAAATAGTACGCTCCAGACAAAAAAATATGAAATCGAATAAATACATATTACACTTAATAATATAAATTGTGAGCTAAAGCCCCCCTCCGGGTGAGGGATTTTCTCGTTGTGTTGAAGACCCATTGGTGGCCTTTGGTTGTTTTCTGCTCTTGGTCGGGTTGTTGCCTCTTTGACGCATTCCCCGTTTCCATTCTCAATTTTAATGTCGAATACATGAATATGGAAGATCCTAAGGTAGTTCAGAAAGTATCAGACAATAAAAGGGTTTTATCTTCATAGCACTGAAGATGGCAATAACTAAATATCACAAGATTTGTTTGTTTAACTTTTTGGTAAGTATTTGAATATTGCTTTAATCACGAAAATGGAGATACTAGTATTCAGGCCCCCAAATGCTTGATTTGAAAATATTGAATGTAAACTGTTGGGAGTTATGGATGGCACAAGCTAGGGGCCATCTTCATCATATAATGGTAGAAATTACTATAGTTCAACATATATCAAACAAAATGACACAAACTAGGAATTCTTTGTTTCGGATGGACGGACAAACGGACGGACTGTAGCGGTTACTGAGACCGGTTCTCGCCACTGGCGACGTAGATAAAACTGCAATGCCTATTATATACATGCGTATAACATTCCAGAACAGTGTCGTATAGAATACAGACATATTATTCTCCTGATAAAAAAGACTGTAAAATCAAATCAAAACATAATAAGCTAAAGACTTAACATTGTGTAAGTGGACGACCATTTGATTTTCTTTGTGTAAGGGCGAGACAGGTGGATTTTCTTTGTGTAAGGTCGGGACAGGTGGATATTGGGGAATTGACTTTTCGTTTTCAACTGTTGAATGACATGCTTATTTTTGGTCGTGCGAAAATTTATTTTCACTTTTATACACAACTGTTTTCTGCATTTTGTTTACATCCTGTCTCATGCGTGGTAATTCATTTTCAGATTTTCAGGTCTGACCAGGCGTGGATGTTCATTTTCTAAATCCTAATCCCCCTCCCTTTTCCTCCTGAAAATCATGATCGCATTGGGCTTTGGTCCTTTATGTTGCTTACAAACTTTAAGTCATGTACAAGCAAATCGTTTTGGATGATAGATACAGCTACTTATACAGATTAGAATTTCAAAGTATCGCATAAGCAATAGGTTGAAACATCGTGAAACGATTGAATGATGGATAAACTGTTAGTTCCGTGTCAATAGAAGGCAACTCATCATAGCTGTAAACTTTAGTATTATCTTTATTTTCTTGATTATTGATATGAGTTAACGACATGTTTTGTAGCAAGGAAACTTAAAAAAATATCTCTCAACATGTTCGAAGTCAAAGTAAGCACTACACAGCGAAATAATGGCGGTGTCACTTGCAAACTGACGTAGTAGAGACGACGTAATCATTGTTTCGGAGTTTGAGTAAATAGTAAATACAGCCCACAGTAGCACATATGTATCCTATGCTTTTGTCCACGTTTCCGGGTTTCCTTCTTTCTTTCTATGTTCTAATATGTGCCTGTTGACATGAACTATTTCCCATTTCTTCATCCATGGACCTTGTATTGTTGTGTCAAATTCATCTTCGGTCTGAAAATTCATATAATATATTCACAAGGAAATTCCAATAAATAAAATTAATAATATGCAATGTTCTTCTTTATTAGTGTTCATATCTAGATAAAACTTCGTGAATATGTTTTTTTATGTTATGGTGAACATACCGTGTTGAAGGCCGTACTTTGACCTATAATTGTTTACTTTTTACACATTGTGACTTGGATGGAGGATATGGAGAGTTGTCTCATTGGCACTCATACCACATCTTCTTATTTCTATAATAAGACAATAAGTAAAAAATCGCGAACTTTCCCTTTAAGTTAATTTACCGAATTGACTTTACTTGACTAAATGATTTTAAGAGTTGATAAAACATGAAATATTGGTCACTCATTTCAAAAGGAACATAAACAGAACAGTCAAAACCTGACATGTAATTCTGGCACGAAGAAGAGAAAAGGGAGACAATCTGTGAACGAACTGTAAATGTTTATTATAAAAAAAAATAGCAGAGTAGAATTAAGGACTAGAATATGATGATAACATCGGGGACTAGCATTCTACCCTTAATGGTTCCAAAATAGAAGAAGCAAATCTTAACTATACTTTTCGTATTGGTCTATGCCAAACTGTTAAGAATGTTTGTGAAAGAATTAGGTCCGATATCCGCAGAATTTATTTGATACCAAATTTTTGTTCAATGTTTGCTTATTAATAGTACTGCAACTTCATGTGAATGTAAACATGGATGTTTCAACATCCTTATATCACTGAGTATCCGTTCATTTTTTATGAACATCTGCAACGTTTCATCAGCTCTCTGGTTTTGACCCTCTGATTTAAACAATTATATGGGAAGTTTACAAACCATACTACCTCATGATTGAGTTTAAAAGGGGGTCTAGGATTGGAATTCGAAAAAAAAACGACACCAACGTCTTATTGAAATATTTAAAGTAAGTCTTACAGCATTTTCATTTTCTTCAATCGATTTCTTCTGTGCTTGGTGTCTGTCGACTTTGTTAAATGATTCCCAGTCAATTTTATAATTGGGATCTTTCGATGTTCTCATCAGAATACCGTCTTTCAGACCATAAAAGCCAACTGGCTCCGAAGGTCGTTGCCATCGAAGGTCAAGACTCCATCTGATTTTTTTGGACATATTTGGAAGGCTGTTGATGCAAAGAGGATACACATGAGGTTAGTAAAAATGCATGTTACTGTTACCATAAATAGCATCATACGAACATTATCATTTTTAAGTCGGCATTAAAAACTTTAGTTTTCTTTTGACCTTGGATTAAAATGTATAACCTCTAACTCACAGGCACTTGTTTCTATCCATGTGTCTTCTATTATATATGGATAGTCGACCTTCCCATGGATTGAAACAAGTGCCTGTACTCTAACTTCATTATCTCAATTTGTATAAATTTAGCTTTCAAGACTGTGATTTAAAAAGTAGACGAATATTTTTTTTACTTACAGTATTTTGAATGTTTGGCTTTGGATTTCAAACTGTCTAAGTTTGTTTTCGTTAATAAGTGACATATAAAAAAGAAGATGTGGTATGATTGCCAATGAGACAACTCTCCACAAGAGACCAAATGACACAGAAATTAACAACTATAGGTCACCGTACGGCCTTCAACAATGAGTTAAGCCCATACCAAACAGTCAGCTATAAAAGGCCCCAATATGACAATGTAAAACAATTCAAACGAGAAAAATAACGGCCTAATTTATGTACAATCAAAGCACTGTAAGCGCTATAGGCAGTTAACCAAAAACCAAAGCAAAAATAATTATGAAAACTGTGGCAGTGTTGCTTCATTTTTTTTTTAAGATTTGAAAGAACAAACATTAAACATTCGTATATTGTACATGTATGTTTATTTAATGAATTGATTATTAAGGCAAATTAATTAATATTTTATCAAGGTTCTCAAAAGCAATGCATATATCAATGTATATTTTTAATGATGAGTTTGCAATGGTACAAGTTCGCAATGATTGCAGTTGTTCTAGTTGGTAGTTAACGTTGGTACCAATTGACTTTTAGTGGTACAAGTTGACGTAGTACGAGTTTGTAATAGTATGAATGGACTTGCTTCCCTGGCAGTAACACTGCGTTTGGGTTCTACAGTACAAAAGTTTTGAGACACAAATCAGCCAAAGGTTTACTACTACAGGGATCAAAGGTGAGGTCTGATTGACCTGCCCATAGTAAATGTAAATGATCCTTACCTTCACCAAGTCCATGATGTCACTCCATCCCAAGTTTGGAGTAAAATGACAGGTGATTATAAAACAGTTGGTCAAACATTCTTGGGCTTTACACTGCTTGAAAGATTTATATGTTTTCTTTAAAATGAGCCATAAATAAAAATTTTCATAGGCCCAGAAATAATTAAAAAATTAAGTAAAGTAAATTCAATTAACCTAGACTTATTTTTGCATCAGTTAAATTTTATAAGAAACAAGAAATAATTGTAATAGGATGATGTTACGAAGTCTTCCAAACAGAGCTCCCATAATTCTTCATTCCCATGGTCGCCTGACATTGGGCAAAGTCCAGTACAAATTGGTTAGGTCTAGTAAAGTGATATGCATATGTGACCCCTAGGAGATTGACCCTGTATATCATTCAAATCTTCTTGAAATGACGAACAGGAATAAATATGGTTTAGGGTTGGGTATCTCACCGTTTACAAGTTCTCAAAAAGGGGGGGGGAGTGATCCCCAGGGGACTTACCCTGTATTTCATTCGATTTGTTTTATTGTCCCATACAAGAATATATATGGTTTCGGGGTGGGGATCTCAACCGTTTACAAGTTTGCAAAAATAAGGGGGGGGTGGGGTGACCCCCGTGGACTCCCCCTATAATTCATTTGATTTGTTTTATTGTCCCATAAATGAATATATATAGTTTAAGGGTGGGGATCTCGACCGTTTACAAGTTTTCAAAAATAAGGGGGTGGGGTGACCCCAGGAACTCCCCTATATTTCATTTGATTTGTTATCTTGTCCCATAAATGAATATATATGGTTTACGGGTGGGGATTTCAACCGTTTACAAGTTTTCAAAAAGAAGGGGGTGGGGGTGACCACAGGGACTCTCTTTATATTTCATTTGATTTGTTATCTTGTCCCATACATGAATATATACTGTTTAGGGGTGGGGATCTCGACCGTTTACAAGTTTTCAAAAAACAAGGGGGTGACCCCTGTGGACTCCCCTATCTTTCATTTGATTTGTTTTACTGTTCCATACAAGAATATATATGCAGTAGGGTGGGGATCTCGACCGTTTTACAAGTTCTCAAACATAAGGGGATGGGGTGACGCTGGGGATTCCCCCAAATTTTCATTTGATTTGTTTTATTGTCCCAACACAAGTATATATATGGTTTAGGAATGGGGATCGCGACCGTTTACAAGATAAAAGCACATTTTCGAATTGAAGGGGGTGGGATGACCCCCAGGGACTCACCCTATATTTTATTTGATTTGTTCTATTGTCCTGTTATTATTACTGAAGACCGTGTGCGTCTATCACTTACTATTTTCAAGTAATAGTCATTTGAAAATTGAAAAAAAATAAAATCCCATAGGGTTCTATAGTAAACTCCTCCCTTCTTAAGGCCCCTCAAAATACCCCTAAATAGACCCCAAGGCACAAACGAAAGATTGATGGCTCCGCTAGACATGTTAGTCTAACATTTTATGAAACCCTAAGTAAATCTGACAAGCGGTCCGAGTTGTCTCTGGGACGAGTTGTCCACATTTTATAAAACATCCGATCAACGTCGATTTTCATCTTTGTCATTCATAAAACAACAACAACTTTATTGGCAAGTTCAGTCGGAATAATTAATAAAAGAAAGGAATTTAAATGTGCATACATTTAATTGAAATTAATTGATTAATCACAGTCTTCTTAAACGAAAAGAAGATCATGATAAACAAAACTTACTTTATAACATCAGAATACTTACTAGCTTACGTTTCGTGTAAGTTAAAATTACCGCCAACTTAGACTACTATGTATAACTTTATTTCCTCTATCATAGAGATTTGGTGTACATGAACAATATTGCTGCGCCGTTTGCCATTTGGGAAATGTAAACGACTTGCAATTAGAGATTTTCGGCGATGAAATATTTCATACAATTGTTCTTTGTCATCTTAGCCAAAAGCACATGGGATAATAAACTACGTACGGATTTCTATTGAGCACTACTTCCTATGTGCAACTTCAAAAATTTTGGGTGGTTCGACGATCATTTAAGGTTTTTCTGGTCATATTTTTTGTATTCCAGAATTGAAAGTATGAAAAAAGTGCCCAATTAGTTATTAATAACATATTACCCAGCTAGATAATAACAATAGCACTTTTTACACCATTCAGTGGGAAGAACACAAATCTAGGGTGGTAGCATAAGGCAGCTTAACTGCCTAAAAAATGAACGAAAAACAAATTTGTAATACATAATCAAACGACAACCACTGAATTACAGGCTCCTGACTTGGGACAGGCACATACATACAGATTGTGGCGGGGTTAAACATGTTAGCGGGATCCTAACCCTCCCCCTAACCTGGGACAGTGGTGTAACAGTACAACATAAGATCGAACTATAAAAAGTTTATTTTTAAGTAAAAGTCACAACAAAAAGAGTACCCATCTAAAATACTCATACATATCATGTGTTTTGTTGTCTGCCGGTTCGACTTATGTTATACAGTAATTGATATTTCTAGGGGAATTTTGAAATGTATTTTTGTTACTCCACTGAACAGAGGTAAAAAGGGGGACCGTCAAGTACTGAAATATTTAAAATCCCTGCCACAAGTTCATGCCAGTACTTATCTTTAGTTATATATTAGTGGTTTTTTTTTCTTTTAAAATAAGTCTCTGTTAATGGCGGATCATTTTTGATAGTCTCTGTTGCATGTTAATAAAGCTTTTCTATACTCAAGTCTATTCAAAGATGGAAATATGGACACCTGTCTGAAAACTCCGTTTAGAACTCTGGATGTCTGTTGAGCTTTCTTGTGATTTTGGATTGCTTTGTCAATAATGTATACTCCACATCTCTGTTATTATTTATGTTAGTTAAAATTATTCAACCTATTTTCCTGTATGTTAATATATGTTTTTATAACTTTTAATAGGTTACCAGATTTATCATTATCAGATAACACGTTGTACTATTTGATTAAAACAAAAACGATTTGTCATCATTTGATTAACTTATGTCCCCCAAAGGGTGACTGGTGAATAGAAATGTGATCGCTTTGGTCTTCTTACTACCGGCAGTAAAACCCTAGCCGAAGTGGGGCGTCCGTTTGGCTGTACGGGATGTAAAAGTTCGCAACCACGTCCGGTCAGAATGGGGACGTTAAATCCGATGCCTCGTGAAGAGAGTGCCACGCTCTTTAAACGTTAAGGACCCTTGTAACAACTATTTGAGGGGTCCGTAAATGGCCTGTTGCGAGGCAAAATTTCTATCCCTCGTTTTCAAGTGGCAATCAAAAATTCCCGGACCTTCATCACGGACAGGCCTCTTTTACAGGACCTACCTATTGTATTTATTGTTAATTTATTCTCGTCCTGAACATGCATGAAATGTTTGCCGCTGAACGTTAAATAAGCAACAACCAATCAATTAATTTATGTAGGTTTGTAACTTTTTTTATGTCAACAGCTGTTAAAATTGGACAAAGTAACATTTTTGTTTTGCGCGCGCGTTGGTCGTCTGCTTTCAGTAACATAAACTATTTTTAGAATCAGGAAATTCGGATTTTAAGGAGACTTTTTAAAGTTAAGTCATATATAATATGCAAGTCTTTTGAATCAATGATTGGTTCAAATGATACAAATATAACATACTCGAATGTAGTGTCCTGTATAAAAGTATTGAACAGGAATTTATTTTGATGTAAAACAGGTGTCAAACTGTACGGTATGTTTAGCATATTCACGTGTTAGTTTTTTACATGAATAAGACCGGGGCTTTTTATTGCTTACTATACGGTATTTGCTTTGCTCATTGATGAAGACTGTATGGTGATCTGGAGTTGTTCTTCGATCTTTCATGAGTGGATAGTTGACTTATCGGAAATCATACCACATCTCCATATATGTTTGTTATTCGTGCGTATGTGTGTGTTGTTTTTCATCCTGGCTAATTGGATGGATTCGAAAAGGTTTAAAACGACGCAAAACAAATAAAACACCAGACTTTTAAACGTATGATACCGGTTTAAGTGCCAAACGACACATGGGACACAACAAAAGTTGAGGGATCGAAGTGCAGAAAAGGTGCTGAAGGAAAAAAATACCTAAATAATCTAAATAGAACCCCTAAACTATATACAGTCTTTACCTATTGTTGACCTCTAGATGACTATTGTTTAATTAGTCGCCGAGTTGTTGTCTCGCTGACGTTTATCCCACATTTCTTTTTCTTCATAAACGCTATTTATAATTTTGTGCGGTAAATATGACTCAAAAATCGTTTGGAATATTATGCATGTATTTGGTTGCCGTCTCATTCATGTATACCCCATACCTGTCCCATGTAAGCCACGTGACGTTCAGCATGCACAAGTCAATCAATCAATCAATAAAGAAATAATTAAGGCAACTGTAATAGTTAACAATGTAATTATATTACTAGAGTTTTTTATCCTAATAAATTATGCCTAAAAATAAGACAGGATCGTTTTTAGGTTTTTCTTTCGAAAACATTGTAAATTTAACCAAGATATATATGGTCAGAAAATCAAGAATCTTCCCTGGCTACAAATCCCAGCAAACCGACAATGGTAACTTGGAACGGTAATTAAAATTCATATCCTTTCGGTCATTACTTTCATATCCTTTTTCCGTGTGCATCATTATACAGGTTCTTACCACAGGCATTTGTCTCTGAAAACAAAAATCCTAATATACCTTAATATAATATTATATTAAAGTATATAGGTCATTTTTTTCAGAGACAACTAAGAATCACAGGCACTTGTCGCTTAAAAAAATACTAATTTACTTTATTACAGTATATATGTATTTTATTTAGATACAAGTGCCTGTGGTTCTTACCAATAATTTTGATAAACCACACGTTGATTAAATGCTACTTCCTGCCATATCCATTCGGAACATTGCTATCGAGATTTTCCTTTGATCGATCAATAGAGAAACATATTCTACCACTTTATTAAACGGACTTAGAACATAGGTAGTTAAATTTTGAAATGCATGGTTTACCCTCGTAAGCCTCGTATTTTAAAGTTTGAAAATTTGACGATATCGTAATCAACGGGCTATGTGGTAGAATCTATATGTATCTATGTTTAATTTTGGTTCAAAATGACGTATTTCATAAACTATATTCACTTGCCTTCTATGAGGAACAAGATTGTTAAACAACAGCATACCTCCATAAGGAATAGGGCATATCTTCAAGTCATTATCTAAATCAATTTCTGAATTTAAAAAAAACATCACTGTTAGAAAATATTCCATTATCTTGCTACATAAAGACTTCAACCTACGTTCTCGGTAGAAATAAGTCTCGTTGGATTTTCAGCCTTTCAAATGCTTAAAAGTCCTATCAACTTTTAAAAATTAAGCTATAATATAAACAATTAATATGCAAAATGACTAAAACGAAATAGTGAATTCATAGTTTAATGACAACAATCACTCTTAATGTAGTAAAGTTAAATATTTTAATGGCATAACGACACCGATAATTTTTTCCAACTAAATTAGACTCAACTTAAAATATGCATTTTGCCGTGCAGACAGACAGACAGACGGACATAAAGATACACGATTCCTTGTAACTGAAATGACTGTCACACAAGCGGAGGGTGTTTGGCGCATTGTAAAATATGGTTCAACCCACGATTTTTATTCGAAAGTGCTTGTACCAAGTCAGGATTTTGACAGTTTTAATCATCATTTCCTCCATGAACATCACTATTCAAAGTTTTCATAAAACTTACTAATACACAATATATGGACAATGATTTTTAGAATATAGCTTAACGTTGAGAACATTTCATACTCTTATTTGAGCGAATAATTGATTCAGTAATAAACTCCACATGACCTTTCTCAATGACCCTGCTGGAGAGTTACAGTTTTATTTACCTAACTTTCTTTTCATTTCTTCTTCCTCTAACATAACATACCATGTACCTCCATAGCAACACTGGTGATCCGCTACTTTTCCTGTCTTATGGCCACGTCTTGCCAGCTAGGAAAGAGGAACTGAATTTAAACTAAGTTAAAGGCGATATACTTAAAAACAACAAGCCAAAATATAAATACCTCTGATGGTTATATTCAAACTGTTTGCACACATAATAGGATAGTGATCATGCCATTTAAGAAAAAAATGGAGATAGTAAACTATCATTCGAATACAAGTAGTAAACATGTTTTCAATTCTCAATTTTTAGAAAGATACTGCAACTAATTTCGATAACAATTTGATCAGTATTGAATTTGAAGGACTCCTATAGACAAACAATTAAACTAACATACAGATATATTAAATTGGAGAGGAATACTTTCTTTCCGTTATCTACAAAAAATTTGAAAATAAAATGCTTTTACATGTACAAGGAGTCAATATTACACAAGGGATAAAATGTCCACATAATATTACCGTAAAGACATTTCAAAGTGCAAACAAACCTGTAAACACCCATTGTCTTCGTTTGTATCTAGGAGCGGTATCCAGGCGGTCGGCTGCAGAACTTTATAAGACTCATTATTCAAATAACCAACATCTAAAAAATACATCGATTTTTATAATAAATGAGATGATACTGCATTTTAATTCTCTATAGAAGGAAAATATTGCGACCTATTTTACCTTGGTGCCAAGGAACAGTTGTAGCCTCATTTTGAGGAGTTTTGGTTCGAATGTTCCAAACCGGATGACCCATTATATCTGGACCGAGTATCTGTTCCATTACATTTAGAATCTTCTCGTTCGACCACAAATCAGAGAAAGACTGAAAATATGATATTTGAAAAATATATAGTAAACCTCTATAATATTAATAATTATTTGGATGACAACAAAGAGATGACCAGTTTACCCCTGATGATAAATTTTTCGAAACAGTATGCATTCTTAAAAATTATTTCAGTCTTTACTAAATTATCATAATTTTTAGAACTGCAATCCGAATCCTGGTTTAATTGTTTATATATATGACTGAGGAAGTACATCAGACTATCATCTTTGTGTTCTATTTCAAAATCAAAATAGAGAATAGAGGTACTTTAATGACTGGATAGCATAAAAACTTACAGACATAATACGAATAACTTTTCCAGCAATAAGGTGGGTTCTTTGTTTTTTGTTTTGTTTTTGTAGGAGGGAAGGCCCGGTTGGTTGTTACTATTCATTATGAAGCCAGGGCACTTAGTTCAATTACGAGTCAACTAATAATTTAATTGTTGCGTGTGACTGAAAGTTTAATTTCAGACAGATAATCAATATTACCGTTCTTTTGTATCAACTGGCAAACATTAAAATGTCGTAAAAGGACACATGTAAAATTACTAAATATATAATTTCAAACTACATGGCTTACCTTTGGCATTTTCTTCAATTTGTGTAAAAGAATATTTGCGCCAGGAAATTCTTTTTCGATCATCGTAAGTCTCTCAAATAAACCATAGTCCCTGTATAACTCTAAAATGGACAAGTTCAGAAAAGCTTGTTAGAAGTAGCCCATGAAATCTAAATTGAAGTCAGTTATCACAGAATTCGCCTAACCACTGGATGATCAAGAAACGCAAAGCGTGTCACTACTGTCTACCCTTCCGGAGCATCTGAGATCAGTCCCGGTTTTTGGCTGGCTTCGTGTTGAATAATCTTTAGGTTTCGGTGTATTAGCTTATCTTTGTATGTTTGTCTTTCTTTCCTCAATGATATTCCCTTTCGGTTCATTTATCATACTCTGCCAACTGCTAATAGAGTTTTCCACTAACATATCTGATAATGGATTTCGGTTTAATCGCTAAAGGATGCATCGATATGTAACAGCCACTATGTTCCGTCAGTTACTTTGTTCCGGCGGAACTTTTCAACTAGTTATTTCGTTCCGATGGAACTTTCCAACTAGTTGTTTTATTCCGAGTGCAGTCGAAAAGTTCCGGAAAAAAGTAGCTAGTTGAAAAGTCCCGGAACAATGTAGCTAGTTGAATAGTTAACCCTAACCCTAACCCTAACCTTAACCCTAACCCTAACCCTAACCCTAACAAAGAGGAACTTTGTGACTAGTTGATAAGTTCCGTTTGACTTTTGTGGCTAGTATCTTTGTTCCCCTTTGAAAAGGTTCAAAGATAATATGTTGCGCTTTTACTTTGCACCAATTCTCCAAATGGAACTTTGTGACTGGTTGATAAGTTCCGTTGGAACTTTTGGGCTAGTTTGTTAGTTCCGGTTTTGACTTATTTGCCAAAGAGGAACTTTGTGGCTAGTTGATAAGTTCCTTTTGACTTTTGTAATCAGTATCTTGGTTTCCCATTGAAAGGTTCAAATATAATATGTTGCGCTTTTACTTTGCATCAATTCTCCAAATGGAACTGTCTGCCTGGTTGTTAAGTTCCGTTGGAACTTTTGTGCTAGTTTGTTAGTTCCGGTTTTGACTAATTTGGCAAAAAGGAACTTTCTAACTTGTTGATATGTTCCGTTGGAACTTTTCAACTAGTCACTTTGTTCCGGTGGAACTTTTAAACCAGAGGAAGAACAAAGTAACTAGTTAATAAGTTCCTCCGGAACTTTTCGGCTAGTTAGTTCTTTCCGCCCGGAACTTTCCAACGTCGGAACAAAAGAGCATTTACAAATACACTATATTTCAAAATAAAGAAAATAACAACACTTAATTTTAGTGCTACCGTACCGCTTCTCTGGATTTAATCTCATCATATTAACGCTCAAAGTCAAAAAAGGAAAGTCAGGGATGTATAAATACTAAATGTTAAATGACCAAAAGGATACCACATTCTGTCCATACTTATATTTTGACATCGCACAAGATTAGGGTTTTCTCTGACTGTTTATGACATATTTAAATTTAATCCATCCAGTGTTCTGATTGATATTTTAGTCTTGGATATATGTTTTTTTATCAGTTGTTATTGGATTTGAACTAGCTTTCATTCACTGCGAGTACACTCAGATCGGTACTATTTGTTAGTTGTTTTTGTGTGCTTTATGTCAATCTGATGAGTCAATCTTTTCAACTGATTTTGTAGTTTATTTTGTTGTGTTGTTACACAACTGTCGCATGTTATGCTCCCGTAAACATGTTTTACTCCATCACCCACGTTCTTAATGTGCCTGTCCCAAGTCAGGAGCCTGCAATTGGTTGTCGTTTTTTTTTGTTTTTCGTTTATTGTTTTGTATATAAATCAGGTCGTTGTTTTTCTCGTTTGAATTGTTATACATTTGTCATGTCGGTTTTTTATAGCTTGATATGTGGTACAAGTTTTGCTCATTGATGAAGGCAGTACAAAATAAACAACAATTGATAAAAAAATAATGAATAGAGAAAATTGCCTAAAAAATTAAGGATAGAGAATTATGGCTAAAAAGTATAACGTGGTGTAATTCATTAATTGAAATACTTTTGATCTTTCCAGCGTTGTGCAGCTTCTGTGCAAGTTCTTCTACCATAAGTTTCAAATCTTCTCTACATGCATCTAATTCTTCTCTCGTGAAGAATTCATCAACAACCAGATAACCCTACATAATAAAAATAAAGATTATTGCATGAATAGGGGGAATAATTTCAACAAAAATATAAATTGCGCAACTTATATCAACTATCCCCCTGGGAACCGACAAGTAGTGCATTTGAATGCGTAACAATACATAACTATTTTACCATTTTGTGAAATGCACTCCTGGCGAACACATATCAAGAGTTACCATATAGTAAAATGGTCTTCTGGGCAACATTGAAAGGTTGCCATGGGGAACACATGATAAAAAATACCATTTAGTGTTCCTTGTGCGCAGATCTCAAGGAAAATTACAATGTTGCACATGGGAACATTTCACGAATGGCAAAGCAGTTTTCTATTATTAAGCATGCAAGTAGTATATCGGTGTTATAAAGCCATCCTCCATGATCTCATTTGTCTCAAGGGGAAAGTTTGGGAAGCTTAAAGGCAGACAGAACTATTCTAGTAATTATTGAGATTATCATGCCAAGATAAAAAATGGAAAATATTTATCATGATATATTCAAAAGCAAACTCAGTTAAACAAGTAGACTTTAATATTTTTCTAAAATGTCATCAAATTTGACAAATTGACAAACAAAAGAAAGGTTATTAACTATCATATGTTTCAAACATCTTCTTCGTGTTGGCTTCAACTATAGACCATGGGTTTCCAACTGATGTTTACAGTTTGTTTTCATGTTGAGCTGTTATACCGCTGTCAAAGGTTAAGTTAGAAGATGAGCGCTCAAAACCATGGTTAACCCGTGACATTCTGTATGTGCTTGTCTCATATCGGGTATCTGTAATTCAGAGGCAGCCTTATTTTATATAAAGGCTCAGGGTATAAAGGAAAACATAGATAAGTAAAGACACGTTTGCTTACTTCCTCAAAAAACTGCCGAATTAGTTCATCTTGCAGCTGTCCTTTCTTTCTTTCCTTTGGCGCCGGAGGCTTTGCCTGAATATTAAACAATTCTGGAGATGCTTCATCAGTAGAACCAGAGTATATCACTTTTGTGTCTGACATCGTCCTAAATTTACCGATGTGTTTGATTATATAAGGACAGGTAAGTGCCTCTATATCTATATTCTATGTGTCTACGTGAGCGAGTAAGCGTGAAGAAAACAGATAACATATACACTGATGTATGGAAAGCCATTTTTGTCTTATAAAAGGGATATCTTTGCTATTTATGTAAATGATGAGTTGCATATAACATCATGACAGTTACTTGCACACACATTGTCTTTGGCTAATGGGCAATAAAACAGGAACCCAATATACTAATGATAGTTAAAAAAGCAAAAATACACCAAGAGATTAATCATATGTATATGGGTCAACATACGGTTTCAATAATATGCGGATGTCTATGAAATATGTCAAGCTCTAAAATTGAGGGGGGGTAGGAGGGGTCTTGATCCCGAAATCCCGGGCTTAAAAACATGGAATCCCGAGGTTTGTCCGAATTTAAAAAAATTAAATCCCGACATCCCGAGAATCGAAAAAAGAATTCCCAGATCCCGAAATCCCGAGCTTAAAAACACCCAATCCCGGAGTCCCGATAAAGGTCCTACCCTCCTTCAAAATTGGAAGAGATGAAACGAAGAAACTATTATTTCTTTAACGTTCCTTTGGATTAAAGTCGTGATGCCATAAGGCAATATCCTTCATCATAAATCTTTCAAATCTAAAAATATTATCTCCCGACTTTACACAGCTACTTTAGTACACGCAATTTTGAAGTAAGATGCATATTAACTGTACATTTGTTAAGATGTATATAAAGTGTACATTTACTGAGATGTATATAAACTATACATCTATTGAGATGCATATAATATGACTGTACACATGCTAAGATTTATATTATATGTACATCTGGAAAGATGCAAATATACTGTACATTGGTAAAAATATATATTAACAGTTTATAAACAAGTCTAAATTGAAAATAACGTTCAAACCTATGATTGCATTGGATAAAAACCGCAATTTTTATACGTGTACATGCAAAACAAATTTCTTGGTAGAGGGGTCTAAATACAGCACAAACAACATTTTCCAAAAGACCAAATAAGTGAAAAAGTATATTTTAACAAAACGCATTTGACTAGCAGGTCGAACAACGGATGTTCTTAAACCCTGTTTACTGTCATGGCGATTGCCAAACAAACGGATCACCAGATGTAACAAAATGGATCTTGATTATTGATTTATTAACGGTTTATATACATTTTTACAGATGTATAGGTTATATGCATCTCAACTGATGTACATTTTATATACAGTTTTACAGATATAAAGTTTATATACATCTCATTTGAATAAATGTGCATCAAGATTGCTTGTACTTAAGTGTTTCAGTCTGGTCCAATCATCTCTTAATATGCCTTTACCACACCTATTGCAATCAAAATGTTCAACAACACAACACATATGTGTTGCAGGATCTTATTATTGACGATTTCGAGTCTAATCGACCTGATTGCACATGTGCATGTTCCCCATTCATATACAATCCATATGCTGTCAACACTATAAATGGCGACCTTAAAACGGTCTACAACACTTCTCTACGAAATATGCTAGCCAAAAAGACCGAAATCTTGTGAGCCTTAATTATAAGACTGGAAACAAAACTTTAAAATACGAATTGGTTCATTCAAGGATTGTTTCAAATAATGGACACAACGTGAAAAAACGTGGATACTCTAAGGCTGTTTGTTATGTCGTGCATATGTGTGCATTAAAATCGATTAAAACTTAATGGGTCTATAAAGACTCGTGCTTCATCTGTCTTCAAACACCCAAATTTATCTAAGCAGTTGTCATACATCCATAATAAATATGCTAATTGTTATCCCGGAGGCAATTCCAAAAAATATGTCGTTTTTAGTAAAAAACAAATTGTAAATAAATGACATATTTTAACTGGTTTTTAATGGATGGGTTTTGAAAAATAACTTGGAAACCCCAAATATATATATCCATAACAATAAAGAAAGGGGGAAATCCTGCGCAATCATTTGTCTCTTTTATGCTTCTTTGGAATTTCAACCGATTGGTACGATAATCAACGTCTAGTGTTTACTTGATTTTCTTGATAGAGGGTTACTGCTTACAATGAAGCTATTGAAACTGATATTTCTGCATCTGATAATCACCACTATTTCATCGTTGGTGTTCGCATTGCACAGCTCTTTCTTTTTAATTGTTTGCTATTCGTATATGCTGAATTGTTTTTCTTTCACCTTTCTTTTGATGTATCTCGTTCGTGTTATGTCTATGTTAAAGTTGTAGACAAACAGTCAACAAAACAATGCAGGCTCGGACCCAGTAATTTTGAAAAGGGGGTGTGGATATCAACCCCCGGAACACCATGAAATATTCACATAATAAAAAAAAAATAAAAAAAGGGGGGTCCAACCCCAGGAACACCCACTGGATCCGCAAATGCACAGTATTAAAACTAAAGATTGCGCAAAACGAATCCTATCCAAAGCGGGGGATGATCTCAAGTGCTCCAGAATGTTTAGTGTTCTTGTTTCATAGTGTTGCTTATTATGATTACATATGTCGGGCTATGATTGTCAATGAATAGAACATCTACATCAAGAAGACGACGGATATGTTCCATTAGCCACACAAATATCTAATTAAAGATGACAACGGATATGCTCCATTAGCCACAAGGATATCTACGCTAGGAAAACAACGGATATGTTCCATTAGCCTCACGAATATCTAAAGTCAAGAAGACAACAGATATGTTCATTAGCCACACGAATATCTGCGCCAAGAAGACAACAAATATATGCCATTAGCCCCACGATCATCTGCGCAAATAAGACGAATTATATTCCATTAGCAGCACGAATATCTGCGTGAAGAAGACAACGTATATGTTTCATTAGCCACACGATAACTGCGTCAAGAAGACAATAGACATATTCCATTATCCACACGAGTATATGCGTCAAGACGTCAATAGATATATTCCATTAGCCATACGAGTAAGTGCGTCAAGAAGACAATAGATATATTCCATTAGTCACACGAGTATCTGCGTCAAGAAGACAATATATATGTTCCATTAGCCACACGAGTATCTGCGTCAAGAAGACGATAGATATGTTCCATTAGCTACACGAGTATCTGCGCCAAGAAGACAATAGATATATTCCATTAGGAACACGAGTATCTGAACCAAGAGGACAATGGGTATATTCCATTAGCCACACGAGTATCTGCGTTAAGAAGACAACAGATATATCCCATTAGCCACACCAGACTCTGCGTCAAGAAGACAACAGATATGTTCCATTAGCTACACGAGTATCTGCGTCAAGAAGACAATAAATATATTCCATTAGTCACACGAGTATCTGCGTTAAGAAGACAATAGATATGTTCCATTAGCCACACGAATATATGCGTCAAGAAGAAAACTTAACATTATCATTAATATGCCATAAAGTTCAACCAAATCACGAAAGCGTCCGTACATCTTTCGGAAAGATAACTTCAACTTTACTATTAAGAACATTTGGTCCAATAGCTTCTTTGATACCATCCTCTATCAAGGAAATCGTTATAGAAAAACGATTCGATTTTGATTCTGAAGAACTAAATACTATTATGTAAAAAATAATACTAATTTAAGTGTACCATTTTATTATCAAAATACAGGAAATGTAGAAATAAAGCTACTTGTTAAACAACCCAGTAACAAACATATAAACACAAAAGAATATCATTGCACGTGCTTAAGTGTACAAATTTTTTTTCACTGAGACTAGAAAAACACTGAAATAATTTTCAGAATACAATGATAACCAAATCAATTACAGTTCTCCTAGAACTTCTCCAATTGATAAATCCAAAACCTACGTTTTCCAGAAAATCTTTAAAATATATATATGATGATATTAATAAAATGCAATGTGTTCCCAATGTTGAAATGAAAATATTACCCCATATTTAAATATAATATATTATATGTATAATTCTGTCAATTAATATACACATTTGTACAACATATTTTGAAAGCAAAAACATATCTGAACTGTTGTCAGGCCAAACAAAAATAGATGTGTGTTAATAGGCTAGGTTGGTATGATATTTTTATTTTGCTCAGTTTTTTTCCTTTGAATATGGCAATTTTGTCATGATTTACAACTAAAAATTTCAATAAAAACTCAAGGATTAACAATTTTTGGCATAAATAAAGGGTAGGTAGGGAATCCCTAAACACAAGTATTTTTTTTTAATTTTGCCTCAGGCAATATCAAACTTAAAGCAACGGAAAAACTAACATTTCGAATGCTATTCAACGACGATCTCAAGAAAACTGAAGTTTTCACAAAATCTCACATAATTACACCAATTATCAAATCGTTAATTGTCTAATCACAGTTTTTCTACAAAAAGGTCAAAGTTAATTGTCGCATTTGAATTTATAAGTCAATTTTTTTTTTTGTAACATCTTTTATCATTTAGCCTAAATTTTTATCCTTATTCTTTGCCGCTTCCATTTCCACGTGCTTTTTGACGTGGTTGTTGTGGTTGACTAGTTCCCACTTTCTCATCCATGGTCCTTGAACACTTGTGTCAAACTCCTGATCTTCCGCTATCTGTAAATTAACAAAAATACCAATTGCAAAATATTCTCATTTGTTACGAAGAACTAATTTGTCTTTACTCTTTCGTTTTACATCATTAGGGCCTAAGAGAAGATTTGTTTAAAAGCTTACGTTGTAACCCTCTTTAAACAAAGAACTACTATTATTATTGTTGTTTGTTAACTTTTCACAAAGTTTTGAGTTGTGAGTTAATAAAAATTGGTTACAGCCGTTCGTTTACATTCATCATAGCGAGCCATCCTCGAGTGCGGCATGACTTGTGTCCGTTTACATTCATCATAGCGAGCCATCTTCGAGTGAGGCATGACTTGTGTTCGATCCTCACCAGGATATTTAGAGAGAGACTAGCAAATGTGTATTTGTTTCTTCTCCTTAAAGCACGCGAAATTAAGGAAAAATGGCAAAAACCAGTCGGCTCGGAGTCAGAACAATGGATTCGGGTAGGGTTTCATGTCTTTCTACAGACTGTTACAATTTGAACTAGCACATCAAAACAACAACTCGGTGTGTCGGTCTAGTCGACAAAGCAGGGTTCATTTTCATAACACATTAACATGTTTTCGTCCTGATATGAATGTAATATTTGCTACTGGACTTTAAACACCAATTCATCATTAGCATCAACATCGTTCACAATGCTTGCTCATTATTAAACTGTAACCTCTTTTTCTCCATATGACCATCAACGCCCTCTGGTCATTTGTGCCAAACGCAATGAAATTCCAGAAACGTTTCAGCAACTTGCAGAGCTTTGACAAGATTTTTTCCTCTTGATATCAATGTTCAAAATAATCTTATCACCGGTACATTGGGATTCATCAAGTAGCATCAAATGTTTACATACAAATATTGAAATTCCTGCATCACACATATATAGCAAACGACAAATTAGTAATAACTTGAGATTTCTCATTATTATTACTAGTTCTGACCATGAAAGTATCATATGTCAATACTTCCATGTTCTGACTAAAATCGATTTCAGACTGCATAATCAGTGCAAACTATTAACGTCGTTAGCTGTAACTCTTTAGAAGATCCGTTTTAAATCCTCCTTTCTTTATTTCCAGCTCCGGAATATTTTCAAATAATGCTGTACATGGTGGATTAGTTTATTTTAGTATTGATCAATACATTGACATTATATAGTTAACTTGGTACCATTATTAACTTGCCTGGATTTGTATAAGCAATAGAAAAATCTAACTTTAAAGCAAAGGAACCTTAGATATTTTTTTTAAATATATGAAATAGACAGACGAATAAAACTCGGAACACCATGTATTTCACACGATATCACATTGCCGTGAACCATGTTAAGTGAACCATGAAATCTGGGTAAAATAATCTACCAGTAATTTGGCATATGTTATAAACATTCACATAATAATAATCATGTATTTGTTTTCTAAATACCAAGTTGATGTGACAACAACTTCATATAAACTTCATTCGCCTGGTACGAGACGAAACAACAAACAGACGAACAGACCTGAAAACATAATGTTCGTAGGCGGTGCATACAAATCACCCTCTAAATTTTAAACAACATTATCATCATAATATTCCCTTACCTCAACAATATCTCTGACTGACGCAATTTGTGCTTTCGTTCTATCAATAGAATCAAACGTATCCCAGTCAATCTTGAGGTTAGGATTTTCTTTTGTTCTCAGGAGGACGTCTGGTTTTAACCCGAACATACCATTAGGTAAACCTGGTTTCTTGAATCTGAGGTCAATACTCCAACGCACTCCTTCTGATGCATTATCCAGACTGGGAAAATATATTTTTTTTTAGAGTATGAAATTGTAAAATTAACGATATTTTGAAGAAAATTGTTATTTCTTTATGGAAAGTTTGGTAACAAAGTTCTACTGTTTTCTAGTTATTTCGTTCTGTTTCGTGTTATTTTCTGAATCCTTGATATTTATTTCATGAATTTGTATTATATTACTATGTGATGATTAAGTAAATAAATGTTCTCTTATGGTTGTTGACTCGGTTGTCTATTTCACGCATGAAGAGATAACTCTCGTATCACACTGAATGAAGTGTGATATGAATAATTGATACGAAAAATGCGTTAATTTGGTTGGCTTAATAATATCCATGATATTCCAGGGCTTGTATTTTCGATCCTGATTTCCTTGATAGAGGGTTGCTGCTCATAAGGAAGCTGTTCCAACTGGTAAAGTTGAAATCATCCCTTCGTACACTTTACGAGCGCCATCACGAGTTGGTTGACCGTTATGGAATAAGTGTTTTACAGATGACGACGGATATATGTTCCAATTGTCGTAACTACAATCCGAATTAGATTTATCACCAGTTTTGTACTTACATTAGCAACACGACGGGTGCCACATGTGGAACAGGATCTACTTACCATTCCGGAGCACATGAGATCACCCTCAGTTTTTGGTAGGGTTCGTGTTCGGGAAACACCTGGAAGCACTGCTGAACCCTTATTGAATGTTTATTTTGAATAATAAAAAAGTTGTATAAAATTTAAACAGAAGGGCATATTTTGACTGTTTCTCAGATAAGAAGTTCCTGTTTTTTTGTACTTCATGACTTCCGGGAACCAATAAGCTCTTACAACAATTAAAGATATGTTAATTTTTTCAGCACAAGCCAGGTTAGGGTCTTGTTTTGACATGAAATAACGGTCATTTTATTTAAACATTGCTATGGATGCCCAAAATCAATGAATTCTACGAAGAAACCTCAAGTGATAGCCAATTTCCACAAATTATGAAACCTTTAACTGTTTAAACTAATTTCACATAATGAAATTTTGCACTTTATTATTTACCCGAATGATGAAGGAAGAGTAAACATGCGCGGTACTGTAAAACCAAATTAGGCAAACAAGTCAAAATTAAATCTAGCAAAATTCCGTATAATATATGGATATTATATAATATCTACAAACACTGAAAAAAATATTATAATCTGTATTGCAAAATTACATCCATAAAACAAAAAATGATACGATATTAAAATATTACCTTCTATGAGGAATAAAGTTGTTAAATAACAGAAGTCCACCATAGGGTATTGGACAAAGTTGTCTGTCTTTAGTACTACAACCTTTAACGAATTGTAAAGTAATGAGATTAAATCAATTCTCAAAATGTTTGCAAAATCAATTTGAGTGTATCTATTTTACATAAAGTATTAATGAAAAATTAAATAATGGTTTTAAGTCAATCAATGGTTTCTGTATATTTTTATATACGTCTTTAAATAAAGCTTTTGAACTTTGAACTGTGACCAACATAATACCTTAAACATGCTGTTATAAATAATCCTTCCTATGTTACTGCATATCATTACCTTTTCCGAGATTGCTTTGATGTCTGATGGCCTTTTGAGGACTTCCTGGTGACGTTAGAAGTGGCCATGACCCATGAATCCAGCAATTCCCAAAAAGGCAGTTAGGCGTCAGAGCAATCATGCTCACTACCCATGTAAGTTTTTAAACAGGATGTCAGATATAAGTTAAATGTTGATGAGACTGCTATCTATGTTAATAAACACTAGCATTTCCTGATATATTGTTGTTTTTGCTTTGTTTTTTGCTTTTTTTTAAGAAATAATAAAATTCCCTTCTCCTTTTATTATTGTCCAGTAAGAAACGTTCATAACAATTGCGTTTCTGATTAGATTCATTATTGCTTACCTAAAGTTTTATTCATATCTTCCTCGTCTAACTGTATATACCATGTATCTCCTGTACAACAAGTATGGTTAGCAACCATACCAGAAGAATGACCTTTAGGTATGACCTTCAAATAGTTGAGAAAATTTCTAAAAATGTAATCTTCTTGTCTCACTTGTAGGAATATTTTTTAAGGTTGAATATATATAGAATTCCTAGGGTGAGATTTTACGTCACCTCAGAGATGTGTGAAATTGCAATATATTTGGTTATATAAAAAGAAACAATAACTTATACTTCTGAAAAATGAAATAAGATATCATTGTTGCAATAAAAATTATAATTCAAAACGTAAAACAACGAAAAGACCGACAACTGTTCACAAAACAACTACATGTACTCAGTCAGCTAAAAATCGAGCAATATGAACCCCGCCAAAATTGGGATGAAATTAAAGTTCCCTGGAAGTATAAGCAGTTCCTGTTCCAGTAGTGGCACGCCTTCTGAACCTCACTGAATTATTCAATAGATCGTATTCGTCGATGCAAATAAATAATATTGAAGTAAATATCATATTAAAAACTGATGCTATTATAAAACATAAAAAATAAAATGCTCCGCAGGGCGCAGCTTGATACGACCGCAGAGGTCGAACCCTGAACAGTTGGGGCAAGTATGGACACAACATTCAAGCTTGATACAGCTTTGCATTTGGATTGTGATTAAATATTTGACACAGCATAGGTTTCTGACACAGAATGAATGTGGTCTAAGAACTTAAAAATTTTAAATTGGACATTCACCTATTATGGTCCAATATCCAAAATCTAAATACATGGTTAGATTCAGCATATCAAAGAACCCCAAGAATTCAATTTTTGATGAAATCAAACAAAGTTTAATTTTGGACCCTTTTGACCTCAATGTGGACAAAGTTGATAACGGGGCCCAAAAATCAAAAATCTAAATACATGGTTAGATTCAGCATATCAAAGAACCCCATATATTCAATTTTTGTTGAAATCAAACAAAGTTTAATTTTGGACCCCGATTTGGACCAACTTGAAAACTGGGCCCATAATCAAAAATCTAAATACATGTTTAGATTCAGCATATCAAATAATCCCTAAGAATTCAATTTTTGTTAAAATCAAACTAAGTTTAATTTTGGACCCTTTGGAACTTAATGTAGACCAATTTGAAAACGGAACCAAAAATTAAGAATTTAAATACACGGTTAGATTCGGCATATCAAAGAACCCCAATAATTCAATTTTTGATGAAATCAAACAAAATTTAATTTTGGACCCTTTGGACCTCAATGTGGACCAATTTAAAAACGGGGCCCAAAATCCAAAAACTAAATACACGGTTAGATTCAGCATATTAAAGAACCCCAAGAATTCAAGAATAAAACCCCATTGAAATTGGTCAAGAAATAAGCAATTTATACGAAGTATCTTCTTTTGCACAATACTGTGCAATTAAATATTTCTTGCTATTGCGCAATACTGTACAATTGACAATTTCTTGCTATTGCGCAATATTGTGCTATTGGATATTTCTTGCTATTGCGCAATACTGTTCAATTGAAGATTTCTTGCTATTGCGCAATACTGTGCAATTGAAGATTTCTTGCTATTGTGCAATACTGTGCAATTGTAAAATTTCTTGCTATTGCACAATACTTATTTTCGAAAGCCTTATTTGAACAATTTATTATCAGGTTTTTGATTGTACCAAGTGTACTGGTAAGAAGAATAGACAATTTAGTAGTGGAACAATGGCTTGAAGACGAAATGAATCTATATTTGTAAGGTGTTTTGTGTAGCTTCGGAAGCCAATACATAGTTTGGACTTTCATTGTATTTGGTTCTGCTTGTAAAGCGGTAGCTAAAAGTTTATGTTTGTTACAGATGTCGTTTTCTGAAAATGGAGTCAGTTGGAATGTTGGTGAAATGGTGATTTCTTTTTTCAGAACCTCAATGTGAAATTTACGTCAAACGATAATAATATTATAAGCAGCTTTATCGGCCGGGACAAAAACAAATTCCTTGGCTAGTTCTTTTAGTTTATGTTTGATACGAGAAATAGGTTTATTGTGGTTATTGTTAAGAGTAAAATGTTCTTTAAAATGTTGAATACGTATATCAACTATGTTCATTACTGAATTAAAAAAAGAGTCCAAAGATTTTTTGTCAGCTTTTTCCCGTTTTATCCATTTCAAACAGTAAGTATGGAGTGACTCGTGGATGATATTACGACACTCATTCCAATTAATAATTGACGGGGGACGATATTTAGGTCCTTTACTGAGGAATGATTTTAACTCTCGGTCTTGAACGATGTTAAGATCTCCAGTTATAACATGGGAAATGGGTCCATAAATGTATTCGGAATTACTGCAATTACATGAAGTAGGTGTATTTTCACTGATATTAACATCTTTACACAATTGGCTATAATTAAACACAAATTTCCGGGTAGATTTTTTGTAAATATAACAAATAAGAGGGAGTTCAGTATTATCAAAATATCCCGGAATTTGTTCTTTAACAGAATGGTCGTTAAAAATACCGGCAATATTTACAAAATCAAAACCTTTATTGACATACCTTATTTTAATAAACTGTTTTTTATGATCTTCAGGGCGATCAATTTTGGGAAACAGTTTAGAATAACAATATGCCATTATAATTTGAACGATTTCATACTTAGGACTGCTATATGAAATTGTGTTGCAATCCTCTAAAATTTTATTTAACTTATTAACCGGTAATGAACAGAGCTTTGTTAACAGATAATGTCTGCCGTTGTTTTTTGAAATAGAAATTAGGTCCGAAATATTGGTATGATTGGTCCAAAATTTTCTTTGATTGCGATTTTTTCTACGACCATGAGAACGGTTTTGACGAACAGTTTTAGAAACTATATCCAAAATGTTAACAGAATCGGTTCTTGATATATTACCAATTCCCATGATATTATCATTAAGACCGAGAGGGTAGACTGTCTGTAATTTTTTAATCCAATTTAATTCAATTATTTTCCGTGATCGTACAAACTTTGAATGAGATTCACCAGGCTGCTTATTTACTACTTCTAAAGGTTGAACTGCTAAATATTTAATAGGATGATTGTGCTTCTTAAGGTGTTGATAAATGATACTTTTGAATTTATTGGGTCTTTTAAAACGATACAGATGTTCTTGAGTGCGTTTAGATAAATATCGTCCAGTTTCACCTACGTACTGAATACCGCATCCCGGTTTGTTTCTTGTGAGTAAATAACTAATACTGTTTGTTTTTCAAGTTATATCAGTTTCAAAATTTAAAGAAAATGTGCGACCATTAAACGTGGACCTTACCGTATTGTTGGTGGAAAGACGGGGACGTGTAAGTCATTTTCTGGCATGACACTTATCGATAGAAGGGTAACAACGATTTTTATTGTTAAAAATGTTAGCGATGGTAGTATTTTTAGAAGATTGAGACGTGTAGATACCCTTTGAACGAGTTTAGTATTTAATATTTTTCCATTTCTAAGCTTCATATTTGTTTTTTGTTTGTGAATTATATTAGAAAGGAGCAAAGACTGGCGTCCAGAATATGAACCAGCATACAATGAATTAAATTATGTAAAAATGATAAATCTGTTCGGCTAAAGATGTCAAACGCTATCCGTAGTAATTACCCGAAAAAGAAAGGGTATATCAGGGTAGCGACTGACGTCTGACTAAATAGTAGAATGGGGCTGAATATTGAAATACTACTTTTTGATAAATATTCCTAAAGTAATGAACTAGAGAAGTTCTCGCTCGGACACACACTCCATAATCTAGTATATTATAAGAGCATAAACCTGAAGCACGGGGAGGCACTCTACTGTCTCCACACGGCACTAAAGACAAACTCTGTAAAAAATAGAATTGAGAATGGAAATGGGGAATGTGTCAAAGAGACAACAACCCGACCATAGAACAGACAACAGCAGAAGGTCACCAACAGGTCTTCAATGCAGCGAGAAATTCCCGCACCCGGAGGCGTCCTTCAGCTGGCCCCTAAACAAATATATATACTAGTTCAGTGATAATGAACGCCATACTAAACTCCAAATTGTACACAAGAAACTAAAATTAAAAATAATACAAGACTAACAAAGGCTAGAGGCTCCTGACTTGGGACAGGCGCAAAAATGCGGCGGGGTTAAACATGTTTATGAGATCTCAACCCTCCCCCTATACCTCTAGCCAATGTAGAAAAGTAAACGCATAACAATACGCACATTAAAATTCAGTTCAAGAGAGGTCCGAGTCTGATGTCACAAGATATAACCAAAGAAAATAAACAAAATGACAATAATACATAAATAACAACAGTCTACTAGCAGTTATCTGACATGCCAGCTCCAGACTTCAATTAAACTGATTGAAAGATTATGTCTTCATCATATGAATATCAGGCACAATCCTTCCCGTTAGGGGTTTAGTATCATACCATCATAACATATATGAGAAGAACATAACCCGTGTCATGCCAACAACTGGTTTTTAAATAAATGTGTTTAGTGCCGATGCAAAGACCCTATAAGTGAATCAATATTAACGCCAAAATATGCAATCTTTAACGACCTGACAACAGTATCGTAACTATATCCCTTCTTAATAAGTCTATTTAAAGGTTTTGTTAGCTTCAGAGGTGAATACTGACATTTTTGTGCTTTATAAAGAATATTTCCATAAAAAATTGGATGTGAAATACCTGAACGTATAAGAAGTCTGCATGTTGAGCTATATTTACGAATGATGTCCTTATACCGATGATAAAATTTAGTAAATGTTTTGACTAGTTTGTGATATCGAAAACCCTGGTGTAATAATTTTTCAGTAATACATAAATTTCTCTCGTTAAAATCTAAAACATTGTTACATACACGAGCGAATCGTACAAGTTGAGATATATAAACACCGTAAGATGGTGACAAGGGAACGTCACCATCTAAAAATGGATAATTAACGATAGGAAATGAAAAATCATCTCTTTTATCATATATTTTAGTATTAAGCTTTCCATTAATGATATAGATATCAAGATCGAGGAAAGGGCAGTGGTCATTGTTAGTATTAGCTTTATTTAAAGTAAGTTCAACAGGATAAATTTCTTTAGTATACATACTGAAGTTGTCATTATTGAGAGCCAAAATATCATCCAAATATCTAAAAGTATTATTAAATTTGTGTATCAGATGTTGTTTCGATGGGTCTTTGCTGATTTTTGTCATAAATTGTAACTCATAGCAATACAAAAAAAGGTCCGCAATAAGTGGTGCACAGTTAGTCCCCATTGGAATTCCGATAACCTGACGATATACGGAATCTCCAAAGCGAACAAAAATGTTATCTAGTAAAAATTCAAGGGCATATATAGTATCAAAGCATATCCAATTGACATAGTTTTTCTGTTTATTGCTACTAAAAAATGACCTAAAAGAGTTTGAACATATATATTCACATTCTGACTTTTTAAATGCCCATTTAATTAGGTGTGTGAATTTTTTCTTAATGAGAATGTGAGGCAATGTGGTATATAGGGTAAAAATGCTTATTTTTGGCCCCTTTTTGGCCCCTAATTCCTTTACTGTTGGTACCATTACCCCCAAAATCAATCCCTACCTTCCTTTTGTGGTATTGAACCTTGTGGTAAAATTTCATAGAGATCCATTCATTTAAACTAAAGTTAGAGTGCGAAAACCAATGTGTCTTCGGACGACGCCGGACGACGCCAGACGACGACGACGACGACGACGACGACGCCAACGTCATACCAATATACGACCACAAAAATTTTTTTGCGGTCGTATAAAAAGAAAATGTGTTATGATTGCCAATGAGACAACTCTCTACCAGAGACCAAATAACGTAGAAGTTAACAACTGACTTATTTGATAAGCGTTCCACTTACCTCCATACATCCATTTTTCCTATTTGTATCAAGGAATGGTATCCAGACTGTAGCAAGTAGAACCTTATACACATCTGTGCTCAAATAGCCAGCGTCTGAAAATAATAGATAGTTAATACAAAAAAAAGACAATAACAGACAACACCAACGGCACAATACAGTAGTCCCAAAGAGTAAGAGTACCATTTATAAAAAAAGATACGTGCATAAAATATCTATATAAAAGTAATAAGAAATTAATCTTCCCATAGTCAAAATTAATGTCTTGGCCTCATGTTTATTTATTCATCTTTCTATGTAATTGTTTAAATCATGGTGTTACTTTCTTGTTTTTGTTTTTTTTTTTAATTTGTTTTACTGAAGACCTGTTATAGTTGTTAACCTAACGCGGTACAACCCTTTACCTAACCAACGACATGTGCAGCTACTTGAACTTTGTTAGATAATTAACTCATTTAGAAAATTATAATTCCCCAAACTTATAAAATGAAAATAACACTCTTATATAAATTTAGTGCGTCCGGAGTCAATAAAAGCAATGAGATGACAGGATGAGAGGGTCATGATGATTTATTTAAAGATGTCTGAAAAAATAGGCTGAAATTACGGAGCGCAAAGTTCTCATTTAACGAAAACTACTATAAGCATCAAAAACATCATTGATATTGTAACAAGGGAGACGTTTGATTACATGTGTCATTTGCAGCTTTGCCGGGAGTTTGTTCATTCAAAGTTTTCATCAATCTAATTAAAATTAGTTCTTCAAGGTTGCTTCTAAGTTCTCACTTTTGTTGTTTTTTACGTTGCAATGTAAGTGAGTGCGGAGAAATTATATTGATTCGGTTTTCCTTGGCTATATTGTTACAAATCATTGACCCACCATTGTAGTTTAATGTCTACAATTTATCCCGCATGTCGGTTCTCTTTAACATAAATTTTACCTTGATGCCACGGGACTGTCGTTGCTTCATTATGCGGTGTTTTATCACGGAAATTCCAGTTTGGCATCCCCGCAATATCTGGACCCAAGACTTGCTCTATCAAATTCAGTAGTTTTTCGTTTCCCCAGAGGTTTCGAAAAGCCTGAAATTAGTGCAGTAAATAGATGAATATTGTAGTATTCGGACTTCTGCATATTCACTATTTAAATGAATATTTTGTTTGTTAGATCAAAAGTATAACAAAAATACTAAACTCCAGGGTAAACTCAAAAAGGGATAGTTCATAAAAACTGACAAAATCAAACGTTATCAACCAACGAAACGAATGAAAAACAAGAGTTATATTCCTTACTTGGTACAGGCATTTCCCGAAGAAAACGGTGAGTTAAACATAGTTTTATATCTAGCTAAACCTCCCACTTGTATGATAATTGTTTATAGGTCCGTCATATTGACAAAATTGGGTGAGCAACCCAAACAGACATAATAGGTTAATGTGACAATAATTGGGATCCATCAGCCAAAATTGTGTAAACATACATCACAGCCATGCAACACAACTGACTGTACTGGTATTACATACAAAAGGGTAAACAGGAATAACCAAAAATATTGGATAGTACAACCAAGGAGGTTCATATAACCTCCTTTGTACAACAAACCACGCAAAGCACCATCAACAGATTCCTTCCGAAATAGAAAGACAAACAAAGATAAACAACAACGAACAACACATGGTTCATATAGCATATACTGCTTTTTACACATATGCTTATGACTCTGATCTGGCTGTGGCTTAAGATCTTAAAATTTAGTTGATTATATTCATATTTATATATGATTGTTAAAATTATTTGTGTCAATTATAAATAATAATTGTACCAAATTACTTTGATTTTCATGGGCCCTTTAATTGGAATAAAAATATCTGATCTGATCTGATCTTATCTATAGCATGACCTGGTCCATGCACTTGTTTCTATCAATGGGAAGGTCGACCATCCATTATATATAGTCGACCTTCCCATTGAAAGAAACATATAGTCGGCCTTGCCATTGATAGAAACAAATAGTCGACCTTGCCATTGATAGAAACATATAGTCGACGTTGCCATTGATAGAAACATATAGTCGACCTTGCCATTGATAGAAACATATAGTCGACCTTCCCATTGATAGAAACATATAGTCGACCTTGCCAATGATTAAAACAAGTACTTGTGGACCTGTTACAGGCACAGAGCGTAGTTGGGTTGACCCAGTTTTACGTGCACACAAACTTCTTCATTTGCCAATCTATAGACCAAATATTCTAACAATAGAACACATAGTATAAGCCATACACTGTGCAGTTGCCAACAGGATGTCCTTTAAGGTTTTATCGTTTTTTCTTATTGATATGTACCAGATATATCTAATTTAACCAGACATTGGTGATAATATACTAAATATATGTATATATATATACAAGTCTAAATTGAAAACAACGTTCAAACCTATGATTGCGTTGGATAAAAACCGCAATTTTTATACGTGTGCATGTAAAACAAATTTCTTGGTAGAGGGGTCTAAATACAGCACATACAACATTTTCCAAAAGACCAAAAAAGTGAAAAAGTATATTTTAACAAAACGCGTTTGACTAACAGGTCGAACAACAAATGTTCTTAAACCCTGCTGACTGCCTTTGGCGATTGCCAAATAAACGGATCACCGATGTAATAAATGGATCTGAATTATAAATTTAATACTAAACAGTATATATATATATATACAACTCGTCTAAACATCAGCCCAACAATGTTAGATCTGTAAATTTGCTTTCGCAAATTTTTTGTTCTTCCCTCACCGGGATTCGAACTCATGCTACTGAGATATCGTGACACCAAATCGCCTGCACTGTATCCGACGCGCTAAAGCTTTCGGTGGCCGGATGTTACCTTTCCTCGTCAGTTTTAATCTAGCGTCGTAATACAGTACATGATATATAAGGCATGAAGATGGAATTGTTACAGATCAGCTGAAATATCTATTGTAAAGGATCCTACAAATGAATGCAAGATACAGTCACAGAAATAATTATATTCATAATTACGTCTGAACCAGTGACAACTCTACAACAGATTTATCCATCGGATCACCAACAGTGATGGTGATACATGGCTGTGTACATTCTGTATATACAACTCGTCTAAACATCAGCCCAACAATGTTAGATCTGTAAATTTGCTTTCGCAAATTTTTTGTTCTTCCCTCGCCGGGATTCGAACTCATGCTACTGAGATATCGTGACACCAAATCGCCTGCACTGTATCCGACGCGCTAAAGGTTTCGATTGCCGGGTGTTATCTTTCCTCGTCAGTTTTAATCTAGCGTCGTAATACAGTACATGATATATAAGGCATGAAGATGGAATTGTTACAGATCAGCTGAAATATCTATTGTAAAGTATCCTACAAATTAATGCAAGATACAGTCACAGAAATAATAGTATATTTATAAGTACGTCTGAACCAGTGACAACTCTACAACAGATTTATCCATCGGATCACCAACAGTGATGGTGATACATGGCTGTGTACATTATGTTTCTCTAATTCTTCGTCAATTTATCCCTTTCTGCACCCATTGTATAAAAAAAATTTAATTAACGTGTGGTTCGTTTTATCTCAGTTCTTCATTGGTTAAAATCCGATTATGATGTCGAATTTACTTGCTTTCCTCTGAATTTCCTATTGTGACAGCATGAAAAAAGGCGACCATGCCTGATGACGTCACATAGAAAGAACACATCTTGTTACAGATCATTCGAAAAGACGGAATAAGTTTGCCTGCATATTGTTTGAAAATCATTAGAGAAACAGATTCCACCACCAAATCTCGTGTAGTACGATATGTATCCACTCTCGACAGTTAAATTTTAAATATTTAAAACGCTCGGCGAGCCTCGCGTTTTAAATTTGAAAATTTAACTGTCTCGAGTGGAAAAATATCGTATCACACTCGATGCAGTGGTAGAATCTATATATATACAACTCGTCTAAACATCAGCCCAACAATGTTAGATACTGAGTTCGAATCCCGGCGAGGGAAAAACAAAAAATTTGCGAAAGCAAATTTACAGATCTAACATTGTTGGGCTGATGTTTAGACGAGTTGTATATATATATTTTTGCACCTCATGTTTGCGGTATACCCATCTTTTCCACAAGTTTATTGTTTTCTGTTTGGTATTAACTTATTAGTCAAGATCCATTTTGTTACATCTGGTGATCCGTGTATTTGGCAATCGCCAATGGCAGTCAGCAGGGTTAAAGAACATCAGTTGTTCGACCTGTTAGTCAAATGCGATTTGTTAAAATATACTTTCACTTTTTTGGTCTTTTGGAAAATGTTGTTTGTGCTGTATTTAGACCCCTCTACCAAGAAATTTGTTTTACATGCACACGTATAAAAATTGCGGTTTTTATCCAACGCAATCATAGGTTTGAACGTTTTTCACAATTTAGACTTGTTTATATATATATATATATATATATATAAATATATATATACATAGTACATACAATTAAAGTTTACTAAATCATTTAGATCAACGTGATATTTGTGGAGATGACATCAGACAGATTAAACTCTTGATATTTTCAGGTAAGATCAATTCTCAAACGCATAAGCAGGGATGCATACAAAGTTATGCTTTTGTAGCTTTCCAGGGAGCCATGCTCCTAATGCTTGGCGAACTTTTCTTCAGAGAACCCAAATAAACAATATTCATACTGACTGTAGTATGTACATATTTGTTTTCTAATAAATATATTTTTATCGAAAAACAACATAGTCTGAAAATACTGTTTCGTTACATGCTGCAAAATTTAATTTTCTGTGTACTATTTTGTGGACAGATGTTTGGCGTTTGCGTGTGTGAGCTTTTTATCATCACTCCATATCTGTCCTCTGGTTAAAGTTTTCTAGTGTTCCCTTGGTATCTCAAATTTTCTCAATAAAACGTGTTAAATGCAAAAAAAACCACAAAATACCTGTGGGAGATGACCAATTTTGTGTAAAAGGATAACAGCGCCAGGCCATTCTTCATCAATTTTTATCAGACGTTTATCCAGGCCATAATCTCTGTATAAATCTGAAATTTGAAGGAAACATTTCACTATTTACCGACTTATGGAGTAAATAAACTCATCATAGATACCAATATTTAAATTTTGTACGCTAGACGCGCGTTTTGTCTACAAAAGACTCATCAGTGAAGATCGAATCAAAAAAATTGAAAAGGCCAAAGAAAGTCCGAAGTTGAAGAGCATTTAGGACACAAAGATCAGACAAAATTCGTTCTTCGAATGTGTAGTTTGCTAAACATATCTATTCACTTTAGATACGACTTCCAGGTCATATATCACTTCATTAGCACATCACAATTAACGGGCAAATTCGGCTATCACTTTCCAAAGAATGTGTTTCTCTTTTCCTTTCTTGGTTCCATTTCATCTTATATATATGACAGATTATTTTTATGAAAATATTAGAATGTTTTGTACTTAATTAATATTTAATAATAAAAATCCTTATTTGAATTTTGTCCCTCGCCGGCATATAAATTCATAGAAACAACACATGTGTAACTAATCAATCAATTCATATGCTGTTCATTGTTGTTCATTATTTTGTGTTTGCTCTCATGATCAAGTCGGTGGTTGAAGGTTTTGTTGTGATTTCCAATACTTTGCTAGATACTTGTTTTTCATTTCAACAATAACGCCATATATTGCATATAGATCGTTATTTTTTATTCGTTCGAAGTTCGTAAACGTCTTGTGGGTCCGTATCCCTGTCTCGTGGCTTTTGATTGGTCTCGGTCGTGTTCTCTCCTCGTGGTTTCTATTTTTATCCCTTACTTGTAGTCAGTCGTTTTTTATGTAATGAAACTGTCATCTTATACTCTGTGGCGGATCCAGGGGGTTCCGGGTTTTTTTTTGACGATCAATGCATTTGAATGGGGACATATAGTTGGAACCCCCCCCCCTTTTATCCTGGGTTGGGAACCCCCCTTTTAAAAATGGCTGGATCCGCCCCTGATACTCTATATTGTAAGTTGGTTTTTCAATTAAAAAATTACTTTTTATTTTTCCAGCTTTGTATAGTTTTTGTGCAAGTTCTTCAACTAGATCTTCGATTGCTCTTCTACAAGGTTCTAAGTCAGCTTCTATATCGAAAAACTTTTCTATGACCACGTAACCCTAAAAGAAAAAAAAATCGCAATAAAAAATTATACAGGAGATAATAGGAAAACGTGAATGAAACAGGATCAAATCGTATAATACAAGTTGAACTCCTCCCCTATAAAAAATACAACACAAGAAACAAAAACAAAAACAAAAACAAAAACAAAAACAAAAACAAAAACAAAAACAAAACAAAACAGATCCATATGCTATCAAAAGTAGCTGTACTACAATAATCACAACCCTCAAGAATGAAACAAATGAAACATACATGTATATATACATTATAAGGTAAATGTCCGTATATTTTATTTTGACAGTCATGACATATTGCTAATGCGGTTTGGGTTAAACCGTTTTGCTCATTGTTGAAGGCCGTACGGTGACCTATAGATGCTAATTATTCTTCTATGTCATTTGTTCTCTGGTGGAGAGTTGTCTCATTGGCAATCATACAACATTTGTTTATATAACACATGTATATTGTATGAAAGTATGCGCTTATCTTAATTTCACTATTGTTTACCTAATTCGCACTTTTAATGTAAAATGTCCCGGAACAGGAAGATTAAAATTTTATACATTGTAATTTAATGTAACAAATAAATATACGTCGTAATTTGATTTAAACAAATACACATTCATACATTGTAATTTACTCAGTGTTTAATATCTATCACGATGAATTAGTCTAAGAAAGAGCCAAACCAACCTCTTCAAAATACTGCTTTATCTGTTCAACTGGTAACTGTCCAGGCTTTAACACATCTGGTTGAGGTGGCATGGACCGAATATCGCACACCTCTGGATATGCCTCTCCAGTAAAACCTGGCCAGTTTTTCTTTTTATCCGCCATTTTAATTGTTAGTGTTTCTTATCAAAGTGGACAAGGACAACATATAATGATATATAATGTTAGATAAAATTAAACCATATTTTCCTGTTCGAATATGTTACGGCACGCCATTTTAACAAATATTTATCTACTACTAGTTAAAGTTTATTCTGGGACTATTATACTAACAGTCAATATATCATGTCCCATGTTTATTCATACCGGGTATCGTTATACATTTCTTCTATTTTATGTTTGAAGACGTTCGGCACCTATTATCCCTAATTCTACTATTTATTTGAAAAACAGAAAACATGCACTAATTGAATAACAAGTGAAAGGAAATTTTGTTTACATTTGAATGTCCGTCTTTTTTTTCAGATTTGTATAATCTGTTTTAAAAGTCCTAATCTCGAGGTCATAACTGATAGAAATCGGAGAATGGTGTTAAAGAATAGGAAGCCACCAGAAGCAGACATAAATTTCATTAAAACAATGAATAATTGGTAGACATATTAATAAGAAACTACATGAACTACAAAAACTAAAAACAAACATACAAACAAACTATGAAAAATAAAAAAAAACTTTTGGCACTATAAGAGTTTTGAAAGACTTGAGTGTACGAAATCAGACAAACTGAAATATATGTGTACAATTTAAAGTATTTCGGTTAACAGTTAAATATTCTTTTGGTTGTTGTTGGATTGATTTTCCTTTGAACACAGGCTTACTGGGTTTGAAAATATTTAATTCATGAAATATTGCACGACAATATTGTTTATTGAAAACAAATTTTGTATATAAAAGTAAAAGCTGTACTTCATACTATGTACAACGAATATAAAGATGTACACTTTACATATAGTAATAAATAAACAAATATTTGTAGATTGTCTTGTTGTTGGATTGAAAATTTTAGATTCATGAAAAATAATATGACATTTTTATTGAAGAAATTTTTTGGAGATGAAAGTATAAATATTGAAGCTGTACTTCATACTAGGCTAGACTGTAAACAAATGATAAACTGTCCACTGTATGTACTACTGAGGTAAACAATAGATTACCTTCTGACATCTTTTGAGTCGGTCTATTGTAATGAAATAACTTTATTTTTTTTTATCCTTTTAAAATATGATTTTTTAAATAAAATGAAACTTAAATATATCTAATGGCATATAAAGAATTATATCTAATGACATCTTTTGTGCTGACAGAGACATAATTATAATACATAATTTAATGATGACCGCATTCATTTATTTCAAAAAATAATTAAAAGTTGCCCCAATTTTCTAAGTCTTAACTCAAGAGATAAACTGATATGGCTTATGAACACAGAAGATTAAGTCAATTCTCATTGCTGCTGGTAAATTTACTTCTAAAAATTGTTAAGGGTGTGGCTTTCTTGTCTGCTTTAGACATGAATTGGATTGTGTGAATAACACAGCTCCTTGAACACCGCCCGTAGTGTCTGTTGCAGTAGGGAAATCTACACTATTCTCAATACCTATTACTACAGTATATGTTATTTTCTGTGAATAGACTTGAACTTTTGTTACATTTATGTTTGTTTCTCTGCATCAGTTACGAGGTTTGTTAGAGCTCTTAAGCTCACAATCCTAGAGCATCGTCCCTTGGTACCTGTTGCAGCTAAACAATCAAGTATATTTATACATTTCCATCAAAAATATTAAAAAATAAAATAAAAACAACTGCAAATAAAATCAAGTGAGAGGACGTTTGCCACATCTCTGGAGTAGCAACTCTTAAATACTTTTTTTTATTTAACAAATAGCCTGTATCACTTTATATCAATATTTAGGTGTTATATGAATGTCATGTAAAATACTGTATGTTGTAAAGATTATATTTGTTATGTGTGTATGCCCCCCCCCTGGGGACCTAATTTGGAAAATAAAATATCTTATCTTATCTTATCATTCATGCTTATATGTCTCTGGTGCTGAGTTGCTGAAATTGTGAAAATAAAATTTTCAATATTTTTACAATGGAAAACCGTATATATCAAATATTGAATTATAATCACTGATTATATATCCTCGCACGCTGATTAAATATCCTCGAATGAAAAGCTTCATGATGTATTTATATATTAATCACATAATTTTGTCCCAGGTACGGGACTGAAAACTTATTGTAGATGTCTTCATTAAAACCAGTAGACGTACTCTTTAGCTATCTCATCGTTACTGATTAAATACGGTACCAGTTTTCAAATCTGTCTGTGTGTCCTGCCAACTCAGTCGAAAAATATCTTCGAAATATGGATAGCCCGTCGAATTTTAGACAGCGTAAGATTTTTATGGTTGTAAATAGTTAATCCTTATTTTTAAAGTCTTTAGAATAATTACTGTAATTCATTAAATTTGAAATGTCTTTGGCGCAAACAAGAAAGAAATGTACGTTACACTACAGTAAGAGCCTCCGTCGACAAAAGGGGGGTGTTCTAATTTGCACAAGGGTTCGTATTTATGGTTTTGAGTCGGAAATATGTACCAGTCAATCGATATGCATTCTAGTTTGAATAGTAGATTGTAAGGAATAAAACAGTTTTCGCTTTCATCAGTTATCAAATGTTTCTACAGTCGTACAGAGCTTGTATCACAGATGTTTTTATACGCTCGTTAAAATGTTGATGGGACGTATTATGGTATACAAATGTCGTCTGTCCGTCTGTCTGTCCGGCATAAACATGTTACACCGTAACTTGAGAACGACTTATCCAAATTTCATGAAACTTAACATAGTTGTTTCTTATGATGGTCAAACGATCTGTATACTTTTTGAATCCGGGTCCGTTCGCCCTGATTCACGTTCGCCCTAGTACCTTTTCGCCCTAATACCTGTTCGCCAGGGGTCCGTTCGCCCTAATTCCTGATGCACTGAGTCCGTTCGCCCTGATTTCTATTTTATTTTGTTGTCTTGTATAATATAAATTATTTGAATTAATTATGTTTAAGACTTAAGTTTGTTGAAAATTCCATCAAAATATTTATGTTGTTTGCTGCTACCAGATAATTATTTTTATTTTGATTTGCATTGAATATACTTGCTAAAATATTCATCGTGTTGAATGTGGACAGTATTATGAAGAAGAAGAAGTGCTCAGGAACTGGAGACCAAGTTATCTGTATGAATTTATCTTTTTTGAAACCTTGTAACAATTTCAAAACAATCCAAACAGTTATATCAAGATCCAACTCACTCAACACCTTGAAATCAAAGAAGCCAAGCAGCGAAAACAATTTCCCTTTAATGTCTTACATCATTGTTTTAACTCATTCCAAGCTGACTTATTTAAAAAAATTGAAGTTAAAGCTATCTGGGGCCGTTTTTAAACAATGTATTATGCATAAGACTTTTGAAAGAGACATGTTTAAACCATCGTAAACACTTCAAACAAAGCATTTTATTTAATTTGTGTTTCAAAAAAGTGGATCATAATCTATCGAAAGTTTCAAAATGTTCGCTTTCTAAACTTTTCCCTCCCTCAGCTCGTTACTGATGGCCTTTGTTTTAGCAAACAGTCTTAGTGATTGTTTTTTCCTGGATTGGACTAATAAGCGATAAGGTGTATAAGTTTTAGCCCAATAAGCATGTTCAATAGGCCACTTCACGGATATTGCAGCCATATTAAATGGTATCAGGTCCGTTCGCCCTAATAACATGTTCGCCCTGAGTCTGTTCGCCCTGAGTCCGTTCGCCCTGGGTCCGTTCACCCTAATTTTTATAAAAAAAGTAATATTAATGGTTTAATTTAGTTTTGTAATCTTATTCAGTTATTTAAATGGTAAATATTAAAAATGTATATCTCCAAATTCATGAATATACATTGAAATTAAAAAAAAAAAGTTTTTGTTTTGGAGCATTAATCAGGCTAATTGGCTTCATTGTTACATTTGTTTTTATTCTGAATTACTTTTAATGACTTGATTGTAAATAAACTCATCAATCATAGATACCAAGATTGAAACTTTGTATGCCAGACACACATTTCGTCTACAAAAGACTCATCAGTGACGCTCGAATCAAAAAAGTTAATAAGGCCAAATAAAGTACGAAGTTGAAGAGCATTGAGGACCCAAAATTCCTAAAAGTTTTGCAGCTAAGGTAATATATTTCTGAGGTGGAAAGCCTTAGTATTCTGAAAATTCAAAGTTTTGTAATTTAGAATGCTGATTAGATATGATTACGATGTCTTTGGTCTCACTGATTGTTGTTGTTATTGTTATTGTTTTTGATGGATTAATAATGATATTGTTTTTTTTAAATAAACAAGTCAGCTTGAAATGAGTTAAAACAATGATGTAAGAACTGTAAGACATTAAAGGGAAATTGTTTTCGCGTTTGGCTTCTTTGATCTCAAGATGTTGAGTGAGTTGGATCTTGTTATACCTGTTTGGATTGTTTTGAAATTGTTACAAGGTTTCAAAAAAGATAAATTCATACAGATAACTTGGTCTCCAGTTCCTGAATTCTTCTTCTTCAAAATACTGTCCACATTCAACATGATGAATATGCCAAAATATTCAATGCAATCAAAAGAAAAATCATTATCTGGTAGCATCAATACAACATAAATCCTTGTCTCATGGGTTTTCGTGCTATTAAGAATGCATTGTGACGTCACAATTTCCATTGAAAAAGCATGCATAGTACGAATTCATATGACGTACGAAAACGTATGATCTGACCAAATATTTCTGTGGAATTTTCAACAAACTTTAACATAATTAATTCAACAGACTACACGAATGAATTTTATTTTTTCCGGACATTCGGTCTGGTAAACAACCTAGCTTTACCAGACCGAATGAAATTTTACCAGACCAATTTTGTTTACATCTAATTGTATATTATCCGACAAAATACCAACAAACCTATGACTTGTTGTGCCCTACTGCACTCCAAAATGCACAAAAACAAAATCGTGTGACAAGAGTGTATATTTTGATGAAAGTTGTGCACAATTGCTTGAATGCATTTCACTGATAAAGAAAAGTAATGTCACATTCTATTGGATTTTGACATGAAAATTATTTGTGAACTAAAAATAATTTAGAGTATCTGTATACAATAATTCCTGTATCTTCTTTCTTTTTCATATATCTTTTGGTTTTCAAATCTAGTGTTTATATTTCATAGCTGTATATTGTGAACCTGCTTGGATTTTTTATTGTATTTGATCGGCAAACCCGGAATTGGCCTTATCCGTTCCCGGAATCTGATTCGGTTTTGTCTATATTTCCGGTTGATGGCAGCCATTGTTGTTTTTGTCAGTCATGCAGATATGTTTTTACTCGAATTTACACATTACTTGTTGACGATTTTCGGCATAAAGCTAGCGGTTGAACAAAATAAACATCGCTGTCATGAATAATAAAGATGAAAATGAATTTTGAGATCATTTTTAGAATTTTGCTCCCAAAATTGGGAAAAATGTAGGGTTTTTAGAAAAATCCAAGAAAAAAACAACACCGGACATTCGGACCGGAATTCAACAAAATTTTACCAGACCGCTCCATTATTCACCGGATTTGTCTGACGGTCCGACAAATTTCGTGTAGTCTGATTCAAATAATTTATATTATACAAGATAACAAAATAAAATAGAAATCAGGGCGAACGGACTCGGTGCGAACAGGAATTAGGGCGAACAGGTACTAGGGTGAACGCGAATCAGGGCGAACCGACCCGGATTCATATTGAATAGGGGGCAGATTTTTTTGATGGAGGTGGAAATAGTAAGAAAGTACAGGAAAACCTATGCATGTTTCCAAGCAACTGTTCATTTTCAATGATGTTTTCCCGTGTTTATCAAAGCATTTTCACCTCCATTATGAAAATCTGCCCCTATTCAATATAGCTGCAATAACTGTGAAAAAGCCTATTAAAACTGAAGTATCTACATTGTACAGTTTTTACTAAAAAATAGTTGACAAATTTTTCAAGGATATAGTACATTTTGTATTTAAAATACAAATGAAAGCTCAAGGTATTTTGCTGCCAACATGATTGGCCACTGGAAAGCATTCTTTTCTCAATAATCAATAACATTAATAAGCTTAATTTTATTGGTACATTTGTACGACACAAAGTCCTCTGAAAAGCCTCTCAGACTAGCTTATTCAATGTTGAGACCTACAAAGTTCATGAATAATGTACTAGACCTTTTGGAAGCACATGTTAATATAAAATTATTTAGTATGTAAATAACTTCAATTCAGTATTTCAATTGAATACAGTTCATTTTCCTGACTTGGTCTTTTTCTGATATTTTTAATGATCAATAAGAAGATTTATTACACTTTTAAAAGTATCATATGCAAATTGCTTTGGGTTTTATATTTACATTTGCTTTGTGAGTCTATGTTATCACTCATGACATGAGTATACATTATTGTTTAATTAATCAGCTTTGGTCAAACTGATGACCATGATGACCAAACAAATATATAAACCATTTACAATTGTTACATGTTTATTTAAGTATACAAGGTGGCAATGTTTAACTAGTTTTTTTTACAAATTTGGAGCATTCATTTTGTGGTTGATTGTGTAAAACTTGGATCTTATTGATTTTTGTCACCTAAATTTAATCTTTCCAATGTAAAGTACATGTGAAACTAAGCACTTCTTTAAATGCAAACACTACACTTGTAAGCTTTTCAATACCAGACTTGCCACTTTATTTTATTAAGATAGTCTTCTACAGCTTTAAAAAGCCATGGTGAAAATTTATAGATAGTATATGTGGATTGGACAAATTTTCATGTTTGGTGATTTCTATAAACTCAACATCCACCAATAATTGATTATTTATATCAATCGAACCGTAAAATTTCCAGTGAAAAATGTTTGTACATGTACATATATCATGGATTTCATATGCTTTTAAGAAATCATTGTACAAAACTGTAACTTCACATTCAAAGGCATGTGTAGTATGAATTTTAAGTACAAAAGCTTATGACATGAGGTACATGTAATTATTTTGAACTTCATATACATGTCCTGGAATAAGTCTGTGTGGTAATTTTGTTTTTCCAGTAATGCTATGCATTTCAGTGATTATAAATTCATTGAACAGTCTTATTGGACCATAGAAATTACAAGGTCACGTCAAATCTTTTTTCAATAGTATGAAGAAACTGATGAAGCTTGTACTATAAAAGTTAGTTCAGAAAAAAATCACTCAACTCTGAAATACTGAGACAACTGCAACACAGGTACAAGTAAAATAAACGCTCAGTTTTCCTTTGAAAGATAACTTAGATAATTACATATACATACATCATGAAGATGTATTTAATTTTTTTTTTAAAATCAACTTTTCATAAGAACTCTCTTATTTTTCCCTTTTTATGGAAAAAATTCTTTTTTGCACCTGGCTGATTGGAAACAGTAATTTTAACATCATTGTAACAACGATTAGAATATCTCATTATAATGTATATATAAAGAATATAAAACATTATTGTTACTGTCGTGTTATGCTTCTTTGATAATTTGAAACATAAGTCATATGTACATGTATACATATTAACATTTTTTTCCACAGCTGGACAGAAAAGAAGACAAAAGAAGCCTGGATCTAAACCACAGTTATATGAAGACACAAGCATGCAACAACCACCCCCTCCACAGTATGGATATGGACCACCACCTGGACAAGGTATTGTGAAATATGTAAAATAAACAGGTCTCATCAAAGTTTATTGGAAGTTGAGGTCCTTTTTCCTTGAATTCCTCATATCATTTTTATACGACCGCAAAAAATATTTGCGGTCGTATATTGGTATGACGTCGTCGTTGACCGACGACACATTGGTTTTCGCACTCTAACTTTAGTTTAAGAGCATGGATCTCTTTGAAATTTTACCATAAGGTTCAATACCACAAAAGGAAGGTGGGGATTGATTTTGGGGGTTATGGTACCAACAGTTAAGGAATTAGGGGCCAAAAATAAGCATTTTCTAGTTTCCAGACAATAACTGTGGAACGGTGTATGGATCTCTCTGAAATTATACTACAAGTTTACATACCACAAAGGGATGGTTAGGATTTGCTTTGGGGGGTTATGGCTCAAACCGTTTAGGAATTAGGGGCAAAAAATGGGGAAAAACAAGGTTGTCCTGGTTAACGGACAAATACTTTAGTACAAAACATGATTTAAAGCAGTGTAAGGGAGATAAATCAAATACATCATTGAAATTATCTCCCTTACACTGCTTTTAAATTATGTATAAAGTAATGGTTAATGAACAATAAAGATAATTTAAAACAGTGTAAGGGAGGTAATCCAAATACAACGTTTTGGTTACTTCCCTTACACTGCTTTTAAATTATGTTTTAAGAAATGCATATTTTTAAAGGAAGACCAGTAAAAATATTTGCAAATGTTGCATCTTTTTTTTTTACAAAAAAATCCATATGAAAGATTTGACACTATATTTTAAATTCTATTATAAAATAGATTAAGTTAGCACTATGGTAAATTTAAATGGGTAATTATGGTTGCAAACTCCATTGGAAATTTGAATTGAGATTATGACCATATCTTGAGGGAAAGAATTTTTTGGGGGAAAAAAGGGGGGGGGGGGGGGTAAAAAGAAAATGTGGGGGTCAATTTTTTCTCATAGTTTGATTTTAACAAAAATTGAATTCTTGGGGTTCTTTGATATGCTAAATCTAAACATGTGTTTAGATTTTTTATTCTGGGCCCAGTTTTCAAGTTGGTCCAAGTTGGGGTCCAAAATTAAACTTTGTTTGATTTTAACAAAAATTTAATATATGGGGTTCTTTGATATGCTGAATCTAAACATGTATTTTGATTTTTGGCCCAGTTTTCAAGTTGGTCCAAATTGGGGTCCAAAATTAAACTTTGTTTGATTTCAACAAAAATTGAATATATGGGGTTCCTTGATATGCTGAATCTAACCATGTATTTAGATTTTTTATTTGTGGACCCCGCTATCAAATTGGTTCATATTGAGGTCAAAAGGGTCCAAAATAAAACTTTGTTTGATTTCATCAAAAATTGAATTATTGGGGTTCTTTGATATTCCAAATCTAACCGTGTATTTAGATTTTTAATTTTGGGTCCCGTTTTTTAAATTGGTCTACATTAAGGTCCAAAGGGTCCAAAATTAAACTTAGTTTATATTATTTATTACAAATGTACATCTACATGCTCTTCTTAAAGACGCACAAAATTACTATCGTGTAAAATATGATCGAAAAGCTCTAATCACAAACTTGCAACAAAACATTGACAAACCCTAATCATATGCAATATATGTTCCTTAACCGTTAAATCAAATACATTTTCACTATTCATCAGGGTTACCCCTCATACCCTGCCATAATTATAATAGATGAGTGATCTATAAGGTAAATGTAGACCAACCCATTAGAAAATGAGGTCTCCAGAACCTGAAGAATCCCACTGTATCTTATGTTCTTTTGCAGGTTATGATCAGAGTGGTTTTGCTGGAATGCCAGGAAGTCAGATACTCAATGATCCCATGGCAAATATGGCAATGCAGTATGGCTCTTCTCTAGCAGACCAAGGCAAAGATTATGTTAATAAAAATGTAAATAGTTTGTAGCCATTTTAGAGGATTAATAATAAAAGTTGTTATGCAATAAAATTTAATTCTAGGATAATCAATTTCAAAATTGTAAAAAATGATGATGAATTTCTTCATTTTGGCACTTTGCATTTTTGCAGTGTTAGAAATAGTGGTTCTATAAATAATAGAATGATGTTGCCACAAAAAAGTGATAATTTTTTTGCTATATGACAAGGTCATTTTATATGAAATTGTGACTAATTGATATTAATAAGCCTAGTTTGTGTTAAATCATACTGTAGCAGGAATGTACATTTATATTTGTATTTGCATCTATGAAATGTTATCTATAATATAAACTATTGCATATAATTCTAATAATATTTCATTTCAGTTAGAAAAATATGTAGCTACATCCAGATTAAAGTACTATTTCGCTGTTGATACTGCATATGTTGGGAAAAAATTAGGACTTTTGTTATTTCCCTTTACTCAATCAGTAAGTATGATCTATTAATATGATGGAAAATAAACATAATGTACCTGTATGCTAAATATAATATATGTTCATGTTCGATCTATTCTTAAGATGGGAAGTTATTCATAATCACATTTAGTGGTCAAGGCCATCCTATAATTCTTTGTTTGATGTTGCCTAACAATGCCTTGTAGGTTTTTTTTTGCTTTTTTGGCCAACAACATGTGTCACATGTTTTAGACGAGAAAACAACATTAGAGCATGAAAAAACTTTGAAAAAAAATAAAAAAAGATGTGTGTCATAAAATATTTTGGGTAGGCTACTTTTTAGGTGGGGAGGTAGGCAACATCAAACAATTTCAATTTTATTTTTGGCCCAACAATGAGTAGATTCTTGCAACTTAGCATAAGTTCTAAAAAGCCTTGAGAAATTGCACCAGACTAACAATACAAGGGGAAATGGAAGCTGTAGAATCCATATTTGATTTGCAAGTCTTCATGTAATATGTTGTATGGAGAAGTTTTATCCTCTATTTTTTTTTAGATTTCCTCCTAAATCAAAATAAATCCATACGTAATTTATTTTCTATGTTTCCATAACATCACCTTTTTTTTAGATAAAAGGAGAAGTGATTTTTCCATTCATATTTTAAATGCAGCCTTTTGAGATCTATGAATCTATTGAAAATGTAGTTTAATATAAAAGTTCATACAGAAATTAACAGAATAGTAAAATTTATGTATCAGTAGAATTTATATGACTTAAAAGGGTAGATTTTAATTTTTTTTCTTGAAGGGTTTGTATTTATATGTTATTGTGTATAAGACTATAAATTCATGATGTGTATACATATGTTGTGTATAAGACTATAAATTCATGATGTGTATATACATGTTATTGTGTATAAGACTATAAATTCATGATGTGTATGCATGCATATGTTATGATATTATGATGATATATTTAGTATTAAGAATGACACTTCTAATTAATTTTAAAAAAATGTTAACTACGTGAATATATTACAGGATTGGTCAATAAAATACAATTCAGATGAACCAGTCCAACCTAGATATGAATTAAATGCACCAGATTTGTATATACCATGTAAGTATGGTAAGATAAAACCCAAGAAAGTTCACAATAGGTTATTAAGCTTTTTAGAATTCTACTAAAAAAGTCAGGAGATCTGTTTGATTGGCAATGAGACAATTATCCACCAGAGACTAAAAGATGAGGATGTGAACAACTACTAGACACCATATGCCCTTCAACAATGAGCAAAACCCATGTTGTAAGTATATTAAGGCATGAGAAGTAAGGAATTACAAAATGGGAAACAATTCAAATGAGCTAACCATCTGTTCGTTTTATGCAAAAAACAATTATGGCAGACAGCAACCAATGACAACCATGGTTTTGAATTTTTGGATTTTAAAAAAAGTAACAGTTTTCTTCTCTGAAAATAAAACAGTCTCTGGGATTTTGATTTTTCTTCAGTCTTCAGCAAGGATTGTAGTACTTGTGTTATTTTTTTCTTGAAACCTTTCTTAAAAAATATGATTTCTCTTCAAAGAGAAAATTTTTTCTACCACCCCCTCAACACCATCATTAAAGACATCAAATAACTTTTCTTTTAAACCAATACCTTTAGAATTTTGACTAGTTTAGTTAAAAAAACATAAATGAGTTTTGTATGTATGTGATATACTATTGATGCAGAAATTGTTGAAAAATTGTTTAGTAATGATTTTTCAGTGTATTACGATCATATTAAATGTTTACAGATGTTTATAATCTGATTTCAGCTATGGCCTTTGTAACATATGTTTTAGTAGCAGGTATTGTCCTAGGAACACAAAACAGGTAAGAGATTTATTAACCTGTAACATATGCTACAGATAAAAACAATTTTTTTCTTTAATGGATAATTTGTATAATAAAATTTATATTTAATACATTGTCATTGAATAGACTTGATGATGATGATGATGGATGGCTGTTTAATGTCTAGTGGCAAATGAAATGCATATTTAGGACGATAACATGTTAATGAGATATGAATATTAATCCTGCTTTGTACTAGACTGACATGCTGAGACGGATTTTTAACGTGCTAGTTCACAAGGGTAACAGTCTGCAGGAAGACATGTCACCCTACACGGACACATTACTCTTGACTTCGACCCGACCAATTTTTGCTCTTGCTCCTAAATACAGCATGCTTTATTGAAGCTGATATCAATTATGAACTCTTTCTGATTGAATTTAACTGTGCACTGTAAATTCAGAACAATTGGGATGTTTTTATTTTTGCAAAAATTTTGACAGGTTATTTTTCACAAAAATAAAAACTTGCATTTTTAATATCTATGCAGTTATTTTTATGCTGCATTTCCTGAAATCGCAATAATTAATCTCACGTGTGTGTCCATTGGTCAACAATCACAATAATGAATGGATTTCTGAATTTACAGTATTCATGCATCCAGCACAACTGCTACACTATAAACAAATCATGTATTATCAATTTTCTTACCCACACAGGTCATTTAATTTCAATTTAAATCTGGAGCAATTTAAAAAAAAATATAAGGTGTTTAAAATAAAATTGCACATGTTTTCATGAATTTACTTTTAGATTTACCCAGGTACCATCTGATCAGTAATGGTCAAAACAACTTTATTTCTTTTTAAACAATCATAAAAAAATGGGAATAGAATTTAAAATTTTGCCAGAAAACAGCATCAAACAAAATTTTTAATGTGTCAATTAAAAATTAATGGTATTTAGCAACCAACAATCAATCAAACAATTAAAAATATGAATTATATCTTAATTTTGTATCATTGTTTATTTCAGATTTACACCAGAACAATTAGGAATACAAGCCAGTTCAGCTTTTGTTTGGTTAATTATAGAACTTGTTGTTATTATGATCAGTTTATATATAATGAATGTCAACACTAACTTAAAATACACAGATGTGATAGCATATTGTGGATATAAATTTGTTGGGTGAGTTTAATATTGCAACATTTCTTAAATATGTGGAGGCAAGAGAAGTTTGACTATATGTAGATATAAGAAGATGTGGTATGAGTGCCAATGAGACAACTCTCCATCCAAGTCAAAATTTATAAAAGTAAACCATTATAGGTCAAAGTACGGTCTTCAACACGGAGCCTTGGCTCACACCAAACAGCAAGCTATAAAGGGCCCTGAAAATTACTAGTGTAAAACCATTCAAACGGGAAAACCAACGGTCTAATCTATATAAAAAACGAGAAACACTTATGAACCACATCAACAAACGACAACTACTGAACATCAGATTCCTGACTTATGTGTGTATACCAGATAGGTGATAACCTGAAAAATTCAGTCCCTACCTGTAATCTCTCCTACTTGGGAGGGCCTGAAGTCGTTATACACTAAAAACTCTTTATGAATCTATTAGGAATCCTGGACATGTTCAAAGTTCATTGAACAATGTGTGATTAAATTTTATATCCCCTTGAAAACCATAGCTTACATAGAAGTTGTTAACTCAAAATATTGTTTCTGTATTTATATAAAAAATTCAGCAATATTTAATAGAATAAGGTTTTACTGGTGAAAGTGAAAGAAATATGCTTTTATATGTCATATTATTCTCATATATTATTTGTAGATAGCTTTAGGTAAGTGAAGATCTTTCTTATAGTTGGAATAGTGTACATACATGTATAGATATTATGTAGATCACTTTAAAAACACATGTATTTCTTTTTGTTTTCAGAATGATATTTGCTTTGATATCAGGTCTAGTTTTCTTAGCCAATGGATATTACTTCGTACTTTTATGGTTTGGTATTACAATTTCAGTATTTTTAGTAAGTATTCATCACTTATATCAGTGTTCTCAGAAAAACAAGTGCATTAGTCCTTAAATCGTAAAAATGTGACTTGACACAATCTTTTGCACAAGTGAGTTCAACTTTGCTTCTAGAATATACCAAACCAGGAGTCATATTTAACTCTGATAGTTGTCTCATTGGATATCCTACTATATCTCGTTACTTTATACAGATTCATTATGATTTCATTACAAACATCTTAAATTTTTAAACTTGAATCAGAACTTTGGACCTGCCATAATCAAAAATTGTGTTGAGAGTACCTGAAAAATCCTCAGTGAGAACCCTGTATCCAATAATACTGCCAGACATGACATTAATGTAAATCTATTTTGTTAATTCTGTGCCGAGTAAAATACCAGAAACTTGTTCTTATTGTATGGAAAATTGGATTATATATCTTTAAACCCACAGCAGTCATAAAATTTAGGCATTTTAATCACATGTCTGAAGTGGTCTGATTGGCACATCTCGAAAAAAAAGTATCTGGAAATGTTTTGAAAAATTTATATTCCAGATTTGTTTATGTACAAATACATGTGATTATTCAAAGTATGAATTATTGATCCTGTTCATGCAATCTCAGTTCATATTTTACAGATTCGCACATTAAGAGTACAGTTGTTATCACAGACAGCTGACGATGGATTTTCACGTGGTGGAAGTAAGCGTAGCTGGTATCTGATTCTGTCCATATCACTTCTACAACCTCTCATGATGTGGTGGTTGACTAGTCATATCATGTTTCATAGAAGCTGAGTGTAAACACTGAACAAATGAGAAAATGTCATGACAGACTGTTGAAAATTGACAACGTTTAAAGCATGATGTAAAAAATGAATTTTTTTATGGCCATATAATGCAGAAGAAATGGCATGCTGCAAAAAAAAAATGAAATTTTTGTCAATTGTCATATAATGCAGCAGAAATGGCAAGCAGACTTATTTTGAAATCCAGCTTACAGTTGAAAAGGATCTGGTTAAATGGTGCAATTGAATGAAGAAAAGAGAAAAACATTTGAACATTTTGTTTGCCAGAGAAATGCTAATATTGTAGGGACCATAGTTTCTTAACACAAGATTTATATATACAACTATCTCAATACAAATTGTAACTTCATCTAATGAAAATAGTGTACTTAAGGGGGTACAGAACACCTAAGGGAGTTAACTCTTTAAAAATAGTTGACCATTTTAGTCACATACTGTAAGTAAAGAGAAATCAAGCTTCTCAATGATCAAAATTAGTATCTGTCAAACTGCTATATATCCAATAAAATTATTCCTGTAAATTGTGAGGTTCAAATTTCTTGAAATTTTTGTATTTTTGTCAACAGGTCAAAGTTAATATTTTGTAAAAAAATTTATGAAAATTAAACGAGCCAAATCTATTTTATCTAAAGTGTTGGATACCCCCTTAACCAATGGTTGTAAGATTATAACATGTTTATTGCTTTCTTTATGTTTTTGTGCCAAAGATTTCTTGTATTATTTTATTTGAAATATTTTATTTGTTCTTTTAGCTTTGTGTAAAGGTATATATATTCAAATGCATGCACACGTTTCTGTTAATAACCATTCTTTATGTAAAAGTTGCATGTCTAAATATAAAATCACTGATGCAAAGCAAGCATGAATAAGGGAGGTAATTAATAATGAATATTTTTTTATGTAAGGGAGATAATTTAAAAAAAAAATCATATTTCGGGCTGCATTTGTGTAAAATAGACATGCATTGCACTTGAGCTATTTATTTTAGCCACCATATAACTGTAATTTTTCAAGTTGTGTCCCTGTGAGATGAAACACGGGAATAGTATCTTTAAACCAGTAGGTAAACAAAACAAAATATATTAATTTTTAGTATCTACCTTAAAGAGGCATAGTATGTGAACCAGCTACAATGTAATAACATAATAGTTTAGGATTAAGTCTCTGTTTTTTGGGTTTTTTTTTTTTTTATATTGATGGTTTGTTTGGGCTGAGGACACTGGTAAATTAAGATAATCAAAATGGCCAAAAGCTGTACATCTTTTGTAGAGCTAAATATATTGAAAACAGAAGAAAAGAAAGAGGATTGTTACTGAGTAATAAATTATGAGTTCATTTGATAAAAGAAAGACCTAGAGAGATAATTACTTATACCTATTAGGTTTTCCATAAATTGTAGAATGGAGGTGATGCTAGACATTTTTCTCTCCCTCAGTGATTGACTCAAAAACAGTACAATTTTGGGGGGAATTTAAAGTGCATTCCCAGCAGAAAGAAAATCAATAACAAGAAACTATGCAGGACGTCTTCCACACTTACTATTCAACTCTTTAAATATGGAATACATATTATTCATAGTCACAAAGCACATGCCAAAAAGATTATTTATTCCTGTTTTTTATTTAGTTACTTTCTCTTTAAAGGCGAGTTTAAATTTAACTAAAACATATTTATTTTAATTCTCAGCTATATATTTAAATTTTGGTTTTGAAAATTTTATCCATACTTAATATTTTCATTATTTTTTCAGGAAAACACGGTGATCATTGTTTAACGAATTCTGTTGCTCTCTTAATATCAATATGTTGCTGGTAGCCAGGAAATAAATTTGATTTCACAGTGTATGGGAATTGTTATTTATTTAATCCTTGCAAAGATTGGAGGTGTACTCAATTGATTTTGAATAAATTATACATTGTATTGAAAGTCAATGATATCAACATGATCATGGTCAAACAATAAGTATCCAATTCGAGAAAGAACAACACTTCAGTTGTATAAAAGACAAGATATTACCTAAAACTTACATAATGTAGCTGACGTTATATGAATCAATGAACCATGAAATTAAGGACATCAGTGGTAAATTCAGGGGTGGCATAGAGGGTGTATGCACCCTTTAATAGATTTTTATGGACATATTGGGGGCATTAAGATTTACCTTTGTCCGTCTGTACGTCCCAAAATTGGTTTCTGTTCTCTAACTTTAGTTTGCCTCAACCAAATGTTATGAAACTTATCCACAGTGCTTATTACCACAAAACACAGATTGAGTTTAAATTTTGGTGGCATCACTTTTACTGTTCGAGAGTTATGCCCCTTTACAAATGGAAAAATTGCTGAAATATTTGTTTCAGTTCTTTAACTTTAGTTTGCCTCAACCAAATGTTATTAAACTTATCCACAATGTTTATAACCACAAAACACAGATCAAGTTTGAATTTGGTGGCGTCACTTTTACCGTTCTAGAGCTATGTCCCTTTACAAATAAAAAATTGCTGATTTTTTTGTTTCCGTTCTCTAACTTGAGTTTGCCTCAATCAAATGTTATGAAACTTATCCACAATGTTTATTACCACAAAACACAGATCAAGTTTGAATTTTGGTGGTGTCACTTTCACCGTTCTAAAGTTATGCCCCTTTACAAATGGAAAAATTTCTGAAATATTAGTTTTTGTTGTCTAACTTTAGTTTGCCTCAACCAAATTTTATGAAACTTATGCACAATGATAATTACCACAAAACACAGATAAAGAATTTTGGTGGCGTCACTTCTACTGTTCTAGAGTTATGCACCTTTAAAAATGGGAAAATTGCTGAATTTTTCGTTTCTGTTCTCTAATTTAAGTTTATGTCGACTAAATGTTAAACTTATAAATAATGCTTATTACCACAAAACTCAGATCAAGTTCAAATTTCGGTAGTGTCACTTTTACAGTTCTTGAGTTAAGGCCCTTTATAACGTTATATGCAAGCGGGGGCATCATCTGTGTCCCATGGACACATTCCCAATTTATTTAATTTTTTTGCATATTCGTGCAAAAAAGTGTTGGCTTTGCTCTGCTCTGCAGTATTTCTTCAGTTTCTTGGATTACACCCCCTTTCAAAACAAGAGGCTCTCAAGAGCCTGAATCGCTCACCTGTATTTCAGAGAAGATTTTTAAATGTTAGCAAACTTGATGAACAAATTGTGTAAAATTGTCTTTAAAGGGCAATAACTCCTTAAGGGGTCAATTGACAATTTTGGTCATATTAACTTTTTTGTAGATCTTACTTTGCTGAACATTATTGCTGCTTACAGTTTATATATATCTATAATAATATTCAAAATAATAACAAAAAACTGCAAAATTTTGTTAAAACTACCAATTCGGTGGCAGCAACCCAACAATGGGTTGTTCGATTCGTCTGATAATTTCAGGGCCTATAGATCTTGACCAAATAAACAATTTTACTCCATGTCACATTTGCTTTAAAAGATTTAGTTTTTGAGATATAAGCCAAAAACTGCATTTGACCCTTATGTTCTATTTTTAGCCATGGCGGCCATGTTTGTCGATGGATACATACTTCGGATACAATTTATAAACAAGATACCCTAAGGAACATTTAGTTAAAGTTTGAAGGTAATTGGCCCAGTAGTTTCAGAGGAGAAGATTTTTAAATGTTAGCAAACTTGATGAACAAATTGTGTAAAATTGTCTTTAAAGGGCAATAACTCCTTAAGGGGTCAATTGACAATTATGGTCATATTAACTTTTTTGTAGATCTTACTTTGCTGAACATTATTGCTGCTTACAGTTTATATATATCTATAATAATATTCAAAATAATAACAAAAAACTGCAAAATTTTGTTAAAACTACCAATTTGGTGGCAGCAACCCAACAATGGGTTGTTCGATTCGTCTGAAAATTTCAGAGCTGATAGATCTTGACCAACTGAACAATTTTACCCAATGTCAGATTTGCTCTAAAAGCTTTAGTTTTTGAGATATAAGCCAAAAACTGCATTTGACCCCTATGTTCTATTTTTAGCCATGGCGGCCATGTTTGTCGATGGATTAAAACTTCGGATACAATTTATAAACTAGATACCCTAAGGAACATTTAGTTAAAGTTTGAAGGTAATTGGCCCAGTAGTTTCAGAGGAGAAGATTTTTGAAATAGTTTACGACGACGACGACGGATGCCAAGTGATGGCATAAGCTCACATGGGGCCCTTGGGGCCCAGTGAGCTAAAAACTGGATATGCCCCTTGACAGGATTCTGTAGTCCAAATATTTTTTATACTTGGAGAACACGAAAAAACTGGCATAATCACAAAAGCCAACGATGTACAAGAACTGAAACACTTAATGAGGTCCAGGTCAGATAGACACATACACTTTACAATGATTTTATAGACCAAATATAGTTGACACATTACTCTTAACATGAAAAGATTGCAAAATCCCTCAACCATCAAGTATTTAACCATGAAAAAGATGTCCTTCAGCCTGTTGAAATATTAATTTTCATATGACCGCAAATTTTTGCAGTTGTATAATGGTATGAAGTTGTCATCGTCGTCTTTCAAAGACATTCAGTTTCCAGACAATAAATTGGAGTATAAGTGTATGGATCTCTATAAAATTGTACCACAAGGTTCCACATCAGAAGTTGGGATTGATTTTTGGGGTTATTGTCCTAACTATACAGGAATTAGGGGGCCAAAAACAATCATTTTTCTTGTTTCAGGACAATAACTTGTGTATGGATCTCTATGAAATTGTATCACAATGTTCCATACTAAACTAGAGGCTCTCAAGAGCCTGTGTCGCTCACCTGACTCTACTTTGGTTTTAGAAATCATGTAAAGATAGATAAAAATCATAACAGATACCCAAATAATAATGATTGAGGCCAAATTTGGATTAATATTGGTCCCGTTATTTAATAAAATATCCTGGTGGCCATCTTGAACAGTAAATCAGCAAAAAAATAGCAACACATGGTCAGCACCTCATAAGGAACATTCATGCCATGTTTGGTTTCATTCCATTCAGTGGTACTCTAAAAGAAGACATTTGTATGTATTTCCCATAGGGTCCTATGTTCAATTAAGCCCCCCCCCTAGCGGCCATCTTGGATGATGGATCAGCTGCAAAGTAACAACACTTGGTCAGCACCTCATAAGGAACATTCATGCCATGTTTGGTTTCATTCCATTCAGTGGTTCTCTAAAAGAAGACATTTAAAATTGAATGTGTCAAAGAGACAACAACCCGACCATAGAGCAGACAACAGCCAAAGGCCACCAATGGGTATTCAATGCAGCGAGAAACTCCCGCACCCGGAGGCATCCTACAACTGGCCCCTAAACAAATATGTATACTAGTTCAGTGATAATGGACGTCATACTAAACTCCAAATTATACACAAGAAACTAAAATTAAAAATGATACAAGACTAACAAAGGCCAGAGGCTCCTGACTTGGGACAGGCGCAAAAATGCGGCGGGGTTAAACATGTTTTTTGAGATCTCAACCCTCCCCCTATACCTCTAGCCAATGTAGAAAAAACAAACGTACAACAGTACGCACAGTAAAACTCAGTTTAAGAGAAGTCCGAGTCCGATGTCAAAATAGGAAACAAAAGAAAATAAAGAAAATGACAACAATACATAAATAACAACAGACTACTAGCAGTTACTGACATGCCAGCTCCAGACCTCAATTAAACTGATTGAAAGATTATGTCTTCATCATATGAATATCAGGCACAATCCCTCCTGTTAGGGAGGAAATACATACATTTGTATGTATTTCCCATAGGGTCCTATGTTAAACTAAGTCCCCCGCTGGCGGTCATCTTGGATGATGGATCGGCAGCAAAGAAACAACACTTGGTCAACACCTCATAAGGAAAATTCATGCCATGTTTGGTTCCATTCCATTCAGTGGTTCTCTAAAAGAAGACATTTTGTATATATTTCCCGTAGGGTCCTATGTTAAACTAAGTCCCCCGCTGGCAGCCATCTTGGATGATGGACCAACTGCAAAGTTACAACACTTAATCAGCACCTTATAAGGAACATTCATGCCATGTTTTGTTTCATTCCATTCAGTGGTTCTCTATGAGAAGACATTTGTATGTATTTCCCATAGGGTCCTATGTTAAACTAAGTCCCCTGCTGTCGGCCATCTTGGATGATAGACCGACTGCAAAGTAACAACACTTGGTCAGCAAGTGGTTCTCTAAAAGAAGACATTTGTATGTATTTCCCATAGGGTCCTATGTTAAACTAAGTTCCCCGCTGGGGGCCATCTTGGATGATGGATCGGCTACAAAGTAACAACACTTGTTCAGCATCTCATAAGGAACATTCATGCCATGTTTGGTTTCATTCCATTCAGTGGTTCTCTAAAAGAAGACATTTGTATGTATTTCCCATAGGGTCCTATGTTAAACTAAGTCCCCCGCTGGGGGCCATCTTGGATGATGGACCGACTGCAAAGTAACAACACTTGGTCAGCACCTCATAAGGAACATTCATACCATGTTTGGTTCCATTCCATTTATTGGTTCTCTAAAAGAAGACATTTTAATGTATTTCCCATAGGGTCCTATGTTAAACTAAGTTCCCCGCTGGCGGCCATCTTGGATGATGGATCGGCTACAAAGTAACAACACTTGGTCAGCACCTCATAAGGAACATTCATGCCATGTTTGGTTTCATTCCATTCAGTGGTTCTCTAAAAGAAGACATTTGTATGTATTTCCCATAGGGTCCTATGTTAAACTAAGTTCCCCGCTGGCGGCCATCTTGATGATGGATCGGCTACAAAGTAACAACACTTGGTCAGCACCTCATAAGGAACATTCATGCCATGTTTGTTTTCATTCCATTCAGTGGTTCTCTAAAAGAAGTCATTAGTTTGCATTTCCCATAGGGTCCTATGTTAAACTAAGTGCCCCGCTGGCGGCCATCTTGGATGATGGATCGGCTACAAAGTAACAACACTTGGTCAGCACCTCATAAGAAACATTCATGCCATGTTTGGTTTCATTCCATTCAGTGGTTCTCTAGAAGAAGTTCAAAATGTAAAAAGTTAACGCCGACGACGGCCGCCAAGTGATGAGAAAAGCTCACCTGGCCCTTTGGGCCAGGTGAGCTAAAAAGGAAAGTTGAGATTGATTTTGGGGGTTAGGGCCAAAACCGTTTAGGAAATAGGAGCCAAAAACAATACTTTTCTAATACTTTGTATAAATTGCTAATTTATTGACCAATTTCAATGGGTTTAATTCAGTCTTAATTTCTTGGGGTTCTTTATTATGCTGAATCTAACCATGAATTTAAATGTTAGACTTTGGGCCCTGTTTTTAAATTGGTCCACATAGAGGTCTGATGATTCCAAAATTAAACTCTGTTGAATTTCATCAAAAATTGAATTATTGGGGTTCTTTTATATGCTGAATCAAACTGTGTATTCAGATTTTTAATTTTAGGCAGAAATGTTCAGCAAAAAAATATCTACAAATAAATCATGTGGTTTTAAATTGTTGAATGACCCTTTGTAGGTGTTAATGCATTTAAAAGATGATTTTAACATATTGCGAGCCTGTTTTTTATCTCGCCTGCTACGAAAGTTGCAGTATGCGAGACAGGGGTATTACTATCCAGGGTCGGCGATGTAAACTATTTGTTTTAAGCTTTATATTTCAGCAGGTAGAAGATGCTTCATATCTTGTATGCAGATACCTTATGTTATAAAGTTTCCATCGGTCATATGTCCATTGTCCTTGACCTCATTTGAATGGTTTAGTGACTGCTTGAAAATGACATGTCAATTTTTCACTTAATATGAGTAATAGGATAACTATATTTGGTCTATAGGTTCCTTGCAACATCTACATGTCCATCAGACAGCACCTGAACTCAACCTCATTTCATGGATCAGTGATCAAGGTTAAAGTTACATGATTAGGTCCGTTTCTCAAATACTATAAGCAGTAGGTCAACTATATGTGGTGTTTGGAATGATTGTAATGGGTACATGTCAGTCTGGCAGGTTTCATCTGAACTAGTCCTCATTTTTCATGGTCCATTGTTCAATGTTAAGTTTTTGTGCTTTGGTCTGTTTTTCAAGTACTATATGCAATAAGTCAACTGTAAGGAATAATTGTAAGGTGTACATGTCTGACTGGCAGGTATAATCTGACCATAACCTTGTTTTCATTCACACCCAAGCAAGGATGCTACCACAAGACCAAAGTTGACATGGAAGATCATATATACACTCAGACTTCAACAGAAGAGTGTTAGTGCTTAATCTATACCAATTATAAACAATTCCTATTTGTTGGCATCAATAACTATACATTGTGAAAAACTGTTTTACTTTATTTATCATACATACATAGAACATGTAGAAAAGCTACAAAAGTTATTCACCAATAGTTTCTCTATCAATCTATGAATGATTTTACATGTATAAGATCCATTAAAATGTTCTGACAAATAATTCTGCTTCTCCAAGAAAAAGTATTTTGTATTTATATTTTTAAAACCTGTCTCCTTCCTCCCTTTTCCCCCAATTACCCCTACAGAATTAGACTAGTTCGTACAGCAACATGTAAACTTAAGACAGATGTAATCATTAATATACTGTCAAGATATTAAAAAAAATGCATTACTAACTGTGTGGTGGCATTTTACATTTATGAAAGTTGTCATTTTCTTTTACCATAAACAAATACAAACATTACATGAAATAAAAAAACTATGTTATATATCCTGGGATTCTTATAAAAGTTATATATTTCGGAAATATACTATATAAACAAATTACCTTTCTTCAAATGTTCATGATCTACAGAATAACAGAACATGATAAAATACAATTCGTTATTACACAACACTGTACATTAGAACATATGATCAGAAAACCACAGACTCCAGTTTATTACATACTCCAGTTTTCTAAGTAATGAATGGTTATCTTTCCTATTCTTGGCTTCCCCAACATTCTGAAGTTACAGTATAATTTATTTGACATTATAACACATAATTCTATTTTTCCTTTGAAGCCATGTGTCTCATTAACTGATTTGTCAATTTTTCAAGTCTCTTAACATCTTGTGCATGCTCTGTTCTGTATTGTATACACTGTAAAATAAAACCATCATTATGATATTATTTTTAAAAACAAATTTGGCACAAAACTCAAACAAACAAACCAGAGAACTCTGCAGAGGCATCATATTAAAGTTATACATCCTAAGTGCAAGCTGTTTTTTTTTAATATCTTTTCTAGTCTCAAACATGTTTCACACATGACTTATCTCCCCTTTACTAAATATAAAACATATTCTGTCATCATTTGTGTTTATCTTACAAATGTTATATTAAAGTATGTAGGACTAAGGTATTTTAGTATATATATATATATATTTTATATTCAGTTTGACTACCATATGTCAAGATAAGATTCATTTTACATCTTACTGATGAAGGATATTAGTTATCCGAAATATCTAACATTTGTTCATGATTTTATTATTTTTTGGTGATGTTGTACCCTTTTAGACTTGTTATATAATATATTTTGTAGTGTACTGTATCATAATTATATGATCCATCGCCCCGTAAGATTTATCGTTGGCTATTATTCAGTCATTTTATATATATACATATATATATATATTCTATAATGCTTCTGAATCTATGGATGACTGTAATACATGTACAACATTGAAAACAATATGTATGTTCGTACCTTCAAAACAATGTACGTAGTTCTCCACTATAATTAGGGATATTCCTGTACAGGACATAAAGATTCATTGGTTATTTTCATGTGTTTAAAGTATCGTTATAAAAATCTTATGTTTATTACATACATGTCTTGTGGAGAGTTGTCTCATTGGCAATCATACCACATCTTCTTATTTTTATATGTAATCAATTTTTGCAATAAGATTCTATACATAAATTGATCTCAAATAAGGGGACATGATATTTGATAGATCGTAAAAAAGAAAATCCAGCTAAATTTAACTGTACATTACATGTATATATATATATGTGTTCAAATTAAGAAACTGAAGTTCAGTGGTTGGTAAACATGTACCGGTTTATAAATTAGTTGAGGATATTGTTTTGTGAATTTTGCTATGAATTTTGGTTTGCCATGTTGATACCCCTTTGTACTGGAGTTGATAGGGACTTTTCTACTGCTATCCACAGAGTGAATTTATGTCCATGAACTGTTACACTTCATTTGTTATCTCTTACTCTATATACATCATGTATTTGGAATATTCTCTCTGACATCTCTATGTGGTTTACCCAATGTAAATGTTTATTTTTAACTTTTTTAGTAAACTAAAGATTACTGACATGTCTGAAATTGGAAAACTATAACATTCACTGTAAACCCAAGTGTAACCTTTGGAATCAATGAAAAAGCTCAGAAAATGAGTTGGATAATGTCATAAATATGATTTTATCATGTACTTATATTCATCTGATGTAAGCCAATCAGTCTTTGCTAATACACCTAAAATCTACAGCCTTAAAGAAAAAAGAAATACCTACCACTGAATCATCTGTAATCTTTACATTCAATTTGCCATCTGAGTGTCTGTATTTGGTAACAAATCTACACTGTTAAAAAAAGGAGATTTTTCTGGTAAACTATATAACTCAAAAATCATTTCATTGTTTCTTTATTCTGGTCATGTACCATGCACAAATTAAATGTAACATGAAATGTATCATAGAGTAAAGGAGAAAGTATCACTAGAGCAATTGGGACATGGAAAACCTTCAAGTTACATTAAAGTCTATTAAGGACTGCCATGTATACATGTAAACTTGTACAGGTAATTAGGATACTAATTCTCTTTTTTTTTTGCACATGTACATGTGTATATAATATACCATGTATGCAGAAATCTACAATCAATTTCAGGCAGTCAATGAGTAATTTTTTATGCATGCATTATACATTCTGGAGGGACATAAAGGTACATTTTAGAACAAATCAGCTTAAATCAGCTTAAACCCCTATAAGTTATAGACGACTTTTGAATTATTGCACTTTCCCGTTAATTTCCTCTGTCACAATAAGTACTGATTATGAGATGACGTTGTTTATGCCAATTGACCATGGGTCAACCAGTGTACATTGTAGACTAAGAATAGAAACAGAATTCATGACAAAAATCTGTTTTGTTGATCTTGTAATGCTGATCATTTAGTTTCTCTCTATCTTCTTTAGTTTTTGCTCAAAATACACATGAGAGTAAAAAAAAAATCCCCATGTAAGGGCATTCACTCCTATAAAGAGTGACAGTCTACTACTATCTCGGCAAAATTTGATTTGTTAGTAGATCTTGCCTTGCTGATCATTTTTGTGATTTTTAAAGTTTCTATCTATCTATTATCATTTTAAGATATAAGGCAAAAACGCAAAAAAAAATGGTAAAAATCGTCATCAAAGGGAAAGTACTCTAATAAGGAGTCGACTGAAGATTTCGACCATGGGACTTATTTGTAGAACTTGCCTTACTGATCATTTCTGCTTAAAATTTCTCTTTCTATTATATGTTCAAGATATTAGGCAAAAATGAAAAAAATGGTAAAATTTGTCATTTAAGAGCAATAACTCCTATAAGAAGTTGTCTGACAGTTTTGACGTATATGGACAATTGGTAGAGCTCAACATTCTGAACATTTTTGTTCCTGTCAGATTTTATTTATTTTTAACGGTTTACAAAATGATAGACAAAACTTGTATTTTACCCCTATGTTCTATATTTAGCCATGTCAGCCATCTTGGTTGGCAGGCGGGGTCATCAGACAATTTTTTTAAACTAGATACCCCAATGATGATTGTGGCCAAGTTTGGTTTAATTTGGCCCAGTAGTACTAGTTTTAGAGGAGAAAGATTTTTATAAAAGTTAACAGACGACGGACACCAAGTGATGAGTAAAGCAAAGGGCAACAACTTGAGATTAATGTATTCAAAGACTCAAAGTTGGTACACAAACTACATGAACTACAAATAACATAAGCTCTGTAGAGGTAGCAATACACAGTTAGAAGTTTAGTTTTGCATTATGGCCATGGTGAATTTTTTAAATATGAAAGTTTTTGTACAATAAAATTGATTTTTAGATAATTGAAGAATAATATAGCCTTCTTAGTGGGTTTATATGAACATTTAGAATGTTTTTAGCATGTTTTATAGGCCATTTTTCTGTTTGACAGTCCGTATTTTCCTATCCGTACCGCCCATAGGTCCATAAATTATTGTAGTGTTTATCAACAAAGATTTTGCGCTCGATCTTTTCAATTCAATTTTATGGAAAAACGAGCAGAAATGCATATGTTTTTTTTTACCTCTTGATAGATATATGTCTATGGATTCAGGAAAGGTATCACTGTAATTGATTGAAATTTTCCTTTGGACCAAATTTTGGAGACTTTTGTGACATGTTCACCCCCTTTTTTTGCAATATTTAGTATCAAAGAAATGCAGATTGTTGCCATGGTTACACCCAAAAGAGATTATATTTCACCATTATAACCATTAGAAATCAAATCTATGGAAGATTTTCTTTCTATAAATATACACATGCATAACACAAATATTAAGCCTTATTTGTTAGAAAGGAAGGGAAAGAGGGTGTTTAAAAATTATGAGTGTCAATTTTAAGTTTTTTTCCTAACTGTGTATTGCTACCTTATGGCATTTGACAAAGCACAGAATTGCTTATTTTTAGATCAATCATACCACAAATCTATTGATATTTAGATTAAAGATACAATTCTGAGGGAGAAACATCTTTTAGTATAACAATATATGTTAGTTTTGTTGTTTATTGTCCTTAGCAACCAATATAGACATTTTGACACAAAGACTTGGTTCAGTCATAAATTGATACTTTATTGGCTACCCCTTGGAAAAGAAATAATGCGCGTTATGTAGAAACCTCAGAAGGGAACGCTTTATATTTTTTCATGCGACTAAATCAAATTTATTATTTTAGCAAGTATAAAGTCACAATTTAGCATGAATTAAGTCTAAATTTGTTCCCGCTGTTATAAATTAATTCAGTATTTGCTAAATTTTAACCAAGGCTTTGGTATGCTAATACACAACAAAATTGACATTCTAAAGCCTTAAAATAGCTTTAACTTGTAAAATTTGTCTACTGTTAAGGTTAATTTAAGTTTTTAAACAAGAAAAGACAAGCACAGAAGGTATAGTTTTAGAAATTTGACTAAAAAAGGAGAATTTACACTTTGACATGGCATGATTCACCAAATCACTTTTTTGTTGCATTTCAGTGTCAACTGCTAACCTTCATAAAATATTTATTTCTGAACCAATTTTCAAAACTAGCAGGCCAATTTGCTCGTTTAAGCTAGCAGAACACAGAAATTCATTTAAAATGGAATTGGAAAAAAACATGTTTATCCTTAAGGTAGCAATACACAATTAGAAGTTTAGTTTTGCATTATGGCCATGGTGAATTTTTTAAATATGAAAGTTTTTGTACAATAAAATTGATTTTTAGATAATTGAAGAATAATATAGCCTTCTTAGTGGGTTTATATGAACATTTAGAATGTTTTTAGCATGTTTTATAGGCCATTTTTCTGTTTGACAGTCCGTATTTTCCTATCCGTACCGCCCATAGGTCCATAAATTATTGTAGTGTTTATCAACAAAGATTTTGCGCTCGATCTTTTCAATTCAATTTTATGGAAAAACGAGCAGAAATGCATATGTTTTTTTTTTACCTCTTGATAGATATATGTCTATGGATTCAGGAAAGGTATCACTGTAATTGATTGAAATTTTCCTTTGGACCAAATTTTGGAGACTTTTGTGGCATGTTCACCCCCTTTTTTTGCAATATTTTGTATCAAAGAAATGCAGATTGTTGCCATGGTTACACCCAAAAGAGATTATATTTCACCATTATAACCATTAGAAATCAAATCTATGGAAGATTTTCTTTCTATAAATATACACATGCATAACACAAATATTAAGCCTTATTTGTTAGAAAGGAAGGGAAAGAGACTGTTTAAAAATTATGAGTGTCAATTTTAAGTTTTTTTCCTAACTGTGTATTGCTACCAGAGCTTGCCAACACCAGTACTGATACCTGAGGTGTATCAACTTGTCTGACGAGTGACATGTCCGAAAAAAATAACTTGTTTTAAAAATCGAATATTCTTGTGGAATTCACTTTTCCAAAGTTGTAGTACATACATGACATATACAATGTACATGTATGAAACAGAACTTGTGAAGCAAACCCTAATGGTTCTCTGACAGGACAATTACCTTCAATATTGACTTATTGTATGAACAAACATGAAAGAAGTTCCTACATGCCATGGACATTGGCCGATATATTTCTGGTCCAATTTGTACTGAAAAAAGGAGCCAGACCATGCATTCGGCCATCATCTCAATAAGAAATAGAACGTTTCCACTTTTACCGTTCCAGAGTGACATGACTTGCATGAAAAGGCACGTAATAGTCAAAAGTTGTGACTGAGTGTAGAAATATGAAGATACTTTCAGAGAGATAGAAAAGAGACAAGACACACACAGAAATTATACGACTTTAAGAATTCTGCCTTCTTTTACTTTAGGGGTCCCAACCCATAAGGAGCTGTACTAAACTATCCTTTACCCTAAACCTTACCCTAACCCATACCTAACCTAACACTAGCGCTAACCCTAACCTAGAACATCCCCTAACCTAACCATAACCATGAATGAACCATAAACCCTAAAGTATTGGGACCCCTAAAGTAAAAGAAGGCCAAGAATTCATACCTTTGAGGGATCTTTCAGATATAATCGTTCTGCAGCTTTCGAAAAGTCATCCCATGATGTAATGTACGGCATTTTGCCTGTACAATTAAAAATACGGCAAATAAACAGCTGTCTGCTCACAAAGCATGTACGTCAACAAACCGGAAGTAGTATGATATGGGTGGTATAGAATGCAAATCATGATTTGAAATTAAGTTCGGATAAGATTTAAACCCATTTCGCGTTTTATTAGCTATTTTTATTGACCGAGTCGGAGGGTGTAGGAATTCTCATGTCCTTCCGTCACACTTTAGGTTTCCAGATGACAAATAGAGAACCGGTTTTTGAAAAATGGAATGTTTTGATAAGACAAAACAATTTTTAATAAGTTTATTAATGAAATCAGAGACATATAATACAATTATATGTCTCTGATGAAATGCACATTTATATACCCTTCAGTAGGGGTTGAAGGCATATATAAACAATACAATACAAATATATACACAATGCAAAACTTAAGTTATAGCATATTAAACATCATATATAAAGTGGTAAACAGTAATATTTATGCAGGTGTTGTGTCCACTCCCCTCAGTGCAAATGACTTTTTAATCACGAAACGGAACAGTAAGCTGCATAATGTCAAATGAAGATAGAAGTAATTGAAATCTTTCTGTTTCAGACAATTTAAAGTATTCTGGACATATATTATTTACATCTTTTAAGATTACAATTACTTCTATTGTTTATAGTTTATATCCTGTATTTTATTTATGTCTAATTTTTTTGTAAGGGCTATATTTTCTACATATGAGAACCATGAAAATGTACCGTTTGTGCTAAGCCATTTAGATAAACCGAAAGCATTCATATAATAAAGGGTTATTTTCATCACTGGATATTCTTGTTAAGTATTTCAATGATTGTACTTTAATAAAGACATCTATGGGATACTGAGCTAGTTCTGCTCTTGCAGCTATATTTTAAGCCAGTATATATTTGCAAAATTTTATGGAATGTGTTGCCGGACCACCAAGTAAAGACTAAACTGGAATCCCCTTGTATTGCGCTACACCCAAACAATGAAGAAAGTGTAGTAGTCAGCTCGAGAACCAGATTAAGTAAAGACATGCTGGGGCTTTTATATAACTCATTATGTCCCGGAGACATTTTAAGCTCCATTTTCGTTGTTTTCATTTTTACCGTTCCACAGAGTTATGGTACTTGATTGTTGAGAATATTCAAACTTTTTTTTTGTTTTTTGTTTCCGGCTATTAAATGGAGAACCCCTTTTCAAATTGACTGAAATTTTAATGGAATGTGTTTAACGACTCCAGAATGGTTAACCAAAATGTTATACCCTTTTATTATATCAGAGACCTATACTTTAACACAGAATTCCAAAGGGAAAATCTATTATATTTATATATTTTGTCTGTACTTTCAGACTTCGTCGGTATAGAACTTGACTGAAAAAAAAATTGCATCAATGTAAACTATAAACATGTTTGTTTGTTTTTTTAAATCATAGAAAAGTCATTTTTATTATCGTTTTCATAAAACCAACACGATCCTGAAGAACAAAGGTTAAGCTTTTGAATTTCATTTACATGTCTTATTCAAGTAGCTATTTAACCTTTACCAGGATATAGTGTGTGGGTATTTTTTACGCACCACTTAAAATTTTCAGCATGTTTCGAAAGTCGGAAAATCATTTACAATATAACAATAACATTTAACATTCGTAAGTTACACCAAATTGTAGCAAAATATTTATCTTTAAAATGATATCTCATTTAGACACTTTGTTCTTTTCTACTTTTCAACATTTTTAAAATTCGTACTACACTGCCAGATTGAAAGAAACGTTTTGATTGAATAATGAAATGCCAAACTAAAATTTTAGAAAATCGTAGAAAATTCAGAAATTATACCAGAAATATAAAAAAAAAAAAAGAGTCTAAGTTCTAGAATAATGTGTCAGCTTTATAATGATATCAACTTTTTTTTTTTGCCTTTCTTGATTGTTGAGCCTTTAGAAAAAAATCAAACACTATTTTTTGCTGTGTAATCCGGATGAAACTCTCCTAAATCTGAAGAACGAGGTCTATTTTAATATGACTTTTTACAAGAATATGTAAAGTACAAATCCTTGCTTTTTATTACAAGTTTATTGCAAACATAGGTCGGATAGGCATTACAATGATACCTAAGGGGTTACCTTTTACACGGAAGTGTAGTTTCTACTTGTCTTGGCTTTTATCCTCCTTTATATCTTCTCAAGGCAGACGATCGTGTGAATTTAGATGACCGATAAATATAACAGAAAATGGACCTCCGTTATGATTCTTTATATTATTTATCATACTTCCGACCGAAACAGACCTGAATTATCGCTCCGCGGGAGTCCCGATTGATCTATAGGCGCGTTTTCATTCCTTTTAAATGGTGTCTTCCTGCTATTCCTACATTTTAAAAATACATTTTCCTTCTATTCCTACAAACAAAGTACAATTATAGCTGTTGTTATAAGGTAATTTGTTGTTTTAGCAATTTAGATTTAATTGATTTACAGGTAAATAAGTGCAAAAGAAATGCACCTTTTTGCGTATTTATGAAGAACAAGGATTTGTATAGTGAGATACAAATCTCACTATACAAATCCTTGTGAAGAATTATGATTATAGAGATAAAAATGGATGCATTGCAGAGAATAAAATAGAAAATTAAATATAGAAATGTACTTTCAATTTATATAAAAGGGAATTCCAAGTTTTTCAAATATGAAAAATAATGAGAAAGAAAAGGCTTAATACAGCAATAAAAAATTAAATTGAATTATACATATTACACTTACAGTTTAGAATTCAAACCGTAATCTTAATAGATAGCCTTTATGCTAAGATTAATGCTACAAAAGTATATGTTGAATGTGCAATGCCAAATTTAAACTACACTTCATAACACTCAAAATAAGATAAATCACAGTACCCAGATGATGCATGATGCTAGAACCCATAGATAGGACCAATACATATATTAGTCCCAGATTACAATGACTTTATAAAAGACTGATTGTGTAAATACAATGAAAACAACACGTTAAATAATTTCATGCGTTAATTTTCAAATGGTTCATGTAACATATTTGGTGTAGAACTGAAATTCTTGCTTTATATGTACTGATTGTATAATAAATTTTCATATCTAAACATATTATATTGTCTAGTAATTTTGATATTTCACTCTCATATAAAGGATAATATTTTTTTATTGTAGTGCTTAAAATATTTTATTGTGCTTAAATGATGCTAACGTCATTGTGTTAGTAAAATCTATTTTAGGGGACTTTGTACAAATTTGTTTTGATTTATTTTTGATGGATTCACTCAATGACAAAGACTTTTCATTACATTAGGAAAAACACACAACAGTTTTGAAAAACGATAGAAAAATTACATAAAACAGAATAAAGATAAAGGACAATTACAATGAACCAATAACATGCAGTTGTTTGAACTTTTTTTATATTAACACTTTCATAATATTTTCAAACTGGGAATTTATGAAAACTAGAGCAGTTATATGGATATTTACCCAAAGTTAATTAGCCTTATGTTTTTACAACCTCATCTGATTTAATCCCTTGTTTATTGAAGTATTCCTCCTATTCCTACATGGATTTCTTACAAATGACATACCAAATTTTAAAATGTAGGAATAGCAGGAATAAACCCTTTTAAATATACAATTTCTTGTTCATATACACTGTCGTTGAACTATGACAAAAATATAACAACATCTTACAAAATTCACAGTTAATAGTTTTAACACAGATTGGTTTACTATAAACTGTGGTTTGAAACAGGGTAGTCCACTTTCTCCTCTATTATTTAATATTTTCATAAATGAATTAGCTATGTACTTAAAATCTTTTGATTTTGGTGTTGCCATTGGGGGAGATAAAGTATGTATTTTGTTGTATGCTGATGACATTGTACTGTAAGAAAGTACTGAAAATGAGTTACAAAATACCTTAGATGAGTTAGATCATTTGTGTACTGACAGTAAAATGACTATTAATGCACGTAAGAGTAATGTTGTCCATTTCAGACCGACCTCATTTGAACGATCGATCAAGTCGTGAATTTAGTTGTGGGGATATGAATATTGCTAATAGCAGTGAATATACTTGTCTGGGCCTAGTTTTTAACTGAATTTCTTGACTTTAGTATTACTGCAAAACTCGGCAGTTGCTAAGTCAGCAAACAGAGCGTTAGGTCTGGCAATAGCTAAGTGTAAAGCTGTTGGTGGCATTTCATATGACGTCTATAAAAAACTATTTGATTCACTTGTAAGTCCTATTGTTGAATATGGTGCCGCGATTTGGGGCTGTTGAAGAAATTTTCATTTGTTAATGCGATTCAGGTGAAAGCTTGTAGTTTCTTCCTTGGTGTAGGTAAATACACACCCAACCCAGTTGTCATGGGAGACATGGGGTGGGTTCCAATTTACCATACACAATAGAAGGTAATTGCAAGACACTGGCATAGATTAATAAGTATGAAGCCAGATCGTATTAACAGGAAAATATTTATATGGGCGGATGAGATCAGTCTGAAACATAAAATTGTGAAAAATTGGAATTTCATGGTTAAAAAACAGTTCACTGGACTTGAATTGGTTGACTTTTACAATACCCACACTAAAATTAATAAAAATATGTTTGTTGATACAGTCATGTCAAGAATGTTTGATAAATATATTGATGAATGGAAAAGCATTGTTAAATCATCCTCTTCCAAACGGGGTAATGGGCGAAACAAGTTGAGAACGTATACTATTTTTAAGCAGGATTATGTTGTTGAAAACTACTATAAACTGTTGAAGCCTTTTAGTGAAAGAATTTCCTTTGCAAAATTTAGATGTTGGGTGGCTCCTATTAAGCTGGAAACTGGGAGGTATGAAAATTTGTCACTGGAAGAGAGGTGTTGGTTTAATTGTTTTAATACTGTCGAAGATGAATATCATGTTATTTTACATTGTCCTGTTTATAATGATCTTAGACAAATTATTTTTACTGAATCTCTTCAAGTTTAAGAACATTTTTCGCCGTTTTTATGTGCTTTCTATACAAATGTTCACCTATTTCAAAAGAATTCAATTAGTAATATTTGATATAAAAAAAAGAGTAAATTTGTTTTAAAATCGTCAAATCTCTAATTTCAAATCCATAGATTTTTCTTATTTCGACGTTTTGGGGTATTTTTTCACCTAGAATATACCAATTTGAACGATGTTTACCGTAAATTTACATAATTAAAACGGAATGTTATGTTTCAACAACATATAGTTTTTTAAGAAAAACTATATAGATACAATTTATCAGTATCAGAGAGAATCCATGACAACTCGCCGCACCGGAAAATCGCCCCACTTTTCACCAACTCGCCCCACTCTTCTTTACCAACCTTCCCCACTTATGAAAAAGGGTAAAATCCCGTTGAATATAAGTCTGACAACTCGCCCCACTTATGAAAAGGGTAAAAACCACGCTGAATATAGGTCTGCCAACGTTCCACTTATAAATAAAAGAATTAAAATGTACTGAATTAAGGCCTTCCAACTCGCCCCACTTATGAATTAGATGAATACTTATGAAAACCTTAGAAATGCATCTTGTTTTTTAACTCTTTTCTTTTGGTTGAAATAAAGCAGAAAGAAGTACCGTAAGTATCAGCATTTCTGTGACGTTAATTTTATTGACTGTAATAACTGTTTATGACGTTTTTTTTCTGGTAAATATAACCACTGTTATATAAGATAAGTCAAGAATCATGGGTGTTTACATAATTTTATTCTCAGATGATAGAGTTTTGTACATCTACATAAGTATGCATAACAATAACGTTTAAAAACCAACATACAATAAATAAATTATGACAAGCACTGGCATGATTACACAAAACGAATTACTACATGAAATGTCAGCACTAGAAACATGAACATGAATACACATGTGCAAATATGGCATACAATAGATTGTCATTAAATAGTTCAGTAACTGTCTGCTTCCACGACTGGACCGTTGACACGACCAAACTGACGTAAGAGTCTAGTTGTAGATATGCTGCCGGCAATGTACTGCCCCCACATATTGAATAGGATGGCTTGGTTAGTGCGGGCTCGCTTGCGCTGGTAGCGAGTAAGCTTACCCTCGGACACTAACTTTATATGAATTGGTAGGAGTTGTGACTCCTCATGAAGTTTCTGGATAAGGTCGTAGAAAGCTGGCTTTTCATCGTTGTTTTTTGTTGTTGAGGCGTCTGTGTCAGCCTTCTACGTCGTTGTTTGTCCTAGTAGGTTGGTTGAACAGGAAGCAAGTTAACTCGTACCATTGTTAACTCGTACCACGTAAACTCGTACCAAAAAAGTTAATTCGTACCAACGTAAACTCGTACCACTGGGAAGTCGTACCAATTAGAACTCGTACCACTGCAAACTCGTACCATTAAAAATATTCAAAAATACGAATGTTTTATGATTTTTTTTTTTGGTAAACTAAATAAAAAAAGTTGAATTACTTGAATTTTATACTAGATTTTAATGAAAACTTAGACAAAAATACGAATGTTTTTATGATTATTTTTTTTTTTAAGCTTTATACAAAAAATTAAAATATCTTTGAATTTTATACCAGATTTTAATGAAAACTTAGACAAAAATACGAATGTTTTTATGATTTTTTTTTTTTTAAGCTTTATACAAAAAATTAAAATATCTTTGAATTTTATACCAGATTTTAATGAAAACTTAGACAAAAATACGAATGTAATTTCTTAATTACCATGCTTATACATATATCAAATTCCTTTGATTGTGTGATTATTGGTTGATTATTAACTAATCAACTTGTTTAATCATATTAGCATGATCATATTCTGCTAAAATGTGCTGAATATTGTATAAAAATAAATTTCATACTTTCTAACTGTTGGTCATAAACAATTTTAAACCTTTAAAACACAATAAATAAATTCTTTCATTAAATAAAATTCCTTTTAGAACCAATAGAAAAATACTATTCAATGTTACTGATTTGGAATGATTAAAAATTAAGTCAAATAGTTGTCAGTAAAAGCTTAAAAAAGAGTCTATTCAAGGGAGACAACAAAGCCAATCTGCCACGGTTTTCTCTATCCAATTAGACAAGGAAAATTAGCTACAAATTGGTCATTGTAATTTCAAATTATATACATTTTACAGACTTAAGAGGTATTGAGTGAAATTAAAGTATATATTCATCATTAAACACCATTTGAATGCATTTAAATAAGTTGGTACGAGTTTACAATGGTATGAATTTACCGTGGTACGAGTTAGTAGTGGTACGAGTTTGCATTGGTACGATTTTTTTTTAGTGGTACGAGTTGACATTGGTACGAGTTTACAATGGTACGAGATAACTATAATTCGTTGAACACACACCATGTAGTAATCTGGTAGAAAGAGCTGGTGATCCATGTTTTGCAGACATAACGGACGAACTTCTGCAGAACTGGATCAGTTACATGGTTGGTCTGTTCTCTAAATGATGACTCAATGTGGCTAGCTGGTTATAATGGTAAAGCCATGATGTTTAGACAGAAAGTAAATACATCACCCCGTCTGTTGTAGGAAAACTGAAGAATAACTTTAATAAGTTTATCATATTTAATTGAATTGCATGCTCATAGTCATAATCTTGTATTCTCATAACCTCTATCATAAGGTTATGCATTTTGCAATTTTGCGACCTACCTATATATCTATAATTAAGTTTATCTATTTTATTTTTATCATATTCGCGTATATGAATGTTTTATTCTTGTTTCGAAATATAACTATGCAAATCTTACCTCAAAATCGAAGTTGTGGGGTTCTTCTGGTCGAAGCTTCTGTCTGACTCTGTTACAGGTACGAAGCAGGTTCGTCTGTTTCGGGCGGCTACCTTCTGGCATCCGGTCTGGGTCAGGATGTTGTACATAAGCATTTTAAGAAGTGAAACATCATTTAATTTCAATGTTAATCATGTCAATCATATATTAAATTTTCGATTTTTCTTAGTATCACAAGTGATTTTTTTTCTATTCTGTGTAGATAAGTTTTCATTTAAGTGGGAGCGAGTTTGCAGGAGTAAATTTAACGGGATTTAACCCTTTTTCATAAGTAGGGCGATTTTTTTTTAAAGCGGGACGAGTTGGTAAACAAGAGTGGGGCGAGTTTGTGAAAAAGTGGGGCGAGTTGTATGACTTCCCGTCTTATATATAAATACATCTCTGTCTGTATTTACTACTAAGTATATAATAATATGTAATATCCGATGGAAATGCGCTTTCAATTCACAATTCAGACACAAAGATGTAGCCATTCCATATTTAAGACTCAACGTGGCGACCATGAAAGAATCTGTCTCGAATAGATCACACTGAATAATTTATTTTTCCTACGACTTTCCATAGAAATTAAATCAGTTCAGGTTTGCCGCATTTTGTGCTACCCCCAATTATTTTACCCACAATCCTTCAGTACATCTGGGATAAAATGGCGTCAAATCGACCAGGAAGACACTGAATCACTATGATTTCATGTTTTACATCATTCGACAGGAAATTTAGTTGTATATAATAGCATAGACAATAACACAGAAACTGTATTTTGAAGCATACAACAGCAAATATGTCAACAGGAAGGTAAGTACTGTCATACAACTTGTTTTTTGTACCATGTTTTTAACAATTTAACAGGTTTTATGTTAATAAATCAAAATATTTTGTTATTATGTATATACAGCGTCAGTTCTATTATGTTTATAGAAAGTAAAATGTCTGACTTACAAACTTCAAAAGCTCAGAGACAAGTATCGTCTCTCATACATCAGGAAAGGGAGATGAAAGAGCATAATATTGTGACAATTATACATGGACGATACTCTACCGTATCAGCTTTTGTTTTGAGATGTTTCGGCCACACAACCAGTTTGGCCATAGTCAATTCATCCACACTATTTCACATTGTTCTAATTGTTTTAACAGAAGGTTGTTTTAAGAAAGAATATCACTTAACGAAAAGTCATTTTGTCTTAAAAACAATAACAACATTTCCCTTTGACCATGTTGACTTTGGTGCTTCATAATATATATTTTTTTGTAACAGAAAATTGGAAGTTAACAATTTGTTCATAACAGACATAAGTATGAGTGAGATACATGGGATCTCCTGTAGTTGGTGATCGCAATAAAAATTTTGTACCAGTATTGTGTTATTTTTAAATAAACAATACATATAGGTAATTAATCTTTAAATTTATTAAAGGTGTCACATATATATGCATAATGAAATTATCATAATAATGACAATTTTATAAGGAATGATTGGACATATAGATTGTATGTTTAAATGATGGTACAATGTACACTGTGATTGTCATCAAAGAAAGTTTTAAATCTTCTGATGTTTTTTCTTTTTCTTAAGGGAACACTACTGTCCCAGAATTTCAACAAACTCTTTATTTTCTTCTATCTTTTCTTTCAGCTCTAGCGCTCTCTTTCCAAGACTCATAGTATATTTTAGTGAATTTTATATTGACATTGCTGTTATAGCTGCTGTATCATCAGCATTGGCAGTGTTCCCGCCTGCCCTAAATAGAAGGGCGGCCCGCCCTTGGTGCCCTTACCCCCACCCTTCTGCCCCCTAAAGTAAAAGAATGCACCCCTCTGCCTTTTCAAAAAAATAAAATTTCCAACTTTCATTCCTACCAGCGTTTCCGGTAAAATTGTTACCTGATTGTGTAACACTAATTAACTGACAATGGGATTAAGTTAAATATCTAATGCTTTGGCAGTTTTATCACCTTTGTTAATGATTGTTTACTGCTAATTAGTGGATTTAAGATAATTGAACAAATACTAGATATTTAATACAGAACGAAATGTCCACATGTTATCCATTTGTAATGTTTATGTACAGCATGTACACCTGAAATTTTTTTTATTTCAGTAGGCATAACATAAAAAATAAAATCTTAAACAATTTTAAAGGTATACATAGTTTTGACTTAATTGGTAAAAAAAGTTTTGTTTCATAACCATGCGTATGAAATTTAAAGAAGAATGAAAGAAATTTGTACTTTGAACATAACAAGATTCACTTCCTGTTTTACTTCTTGTATTTTATAATCTCCTGACATAGGAGCACTCAACAAATTTATTTTAAACAATGATGGAGAAAAAAGTAACTGTTTATACCTTCTGCAATATATCATTGCATCAATATAATATGATCATCTACAGTCTCACCTGTTATATTTATAAAACTCCTTACTGAGGAGCACTTTGGTGTGCACTTAAAAATACTTTTTTGTAACAATTCAAATGATAATAAATAACTCTCAATAACATATATACTATATGTTTGAACAAGTAATTTAAATGTAGATAATTTAATTACATTAAACATTCAATTTTGCATGTATAACTCCAAAACTACTTGTTTATTTTTATAGACTGGTATAAGTTATAAAACATTGAAATTTCTGATGATTATTTTCCTTACCAAATATACAAGTTTGTTTAGATAAACATCAAAATGATATGCTTTGCTTCATGGTATGATAATTTGATAAAAAAAAATTCTTACTGGAACTAACATCAAGAACACATTAATTTCTGAATATGGTTTAAATACAACTAATGTTCTCCAGTTGCATGAGCCTAGCAATATTCAAGGAAATTTATACACTGTCCAACAGTGCCCTTAAACTCTGGGTTATAATGCTAAAGTGCCCTTTCAGACAACTAGCACCCTTCTGCCCTGAGATTCAAGCTGGAACACTGATTGGTATTGTCTATTTCTTCTTCAGATGGCACTTGTACATCTCTCTTACTATCGTAGGTGATGGAATGCTTGTCTACTACTAGGATTTGTACCAGTTGATCTGCTACGAATTGTGTTGCCCATGGTTCTGAATCATCTGCTTTAATTACCCTAAACATTCATTTGGTTAAATTGATTATAATCAGGTTCCCCTATTAACCAACTTTTTATGTTTAATGGATATTGATATCTTTTATTGTGAAAGATAAATTAGAAAATAAGGACCAACAAATGCATATAATCTTAGTATACATGTATTAAAATATCTGTAAAAAATATATTATGGCATACATGTAAATGCTGAATTTACAGTGTTAGAGTGTAATAAATTGCTTGAATTTATTTTACAATAACTCAGATGATAATAAGCTTTTATTTTATTTTACCTAAATTGAATTAAATAAAACATAGAAATATGATAAAATGAATAGAAATTATTTTATATAATTAACAATTGTTGGAATAATATGAGTTAATTACAATAATCTTTTGTTTATTTGTGTAACATGTATCTTTTTGATTTTAATTAGGGCTTATGAGTATCGTGATTATTTTTAACTGGTTGTTGATTAATTTCACAATATTCCTCTTTAATCTTTTTGAGTTCATTTAATGGTAAACGGACAGAAAGTCACAGGACAAAATGTCACAGGACATAAAGTCACAAATATGATGTGTCTCATAAGCCAATCTTATGGCTGGGTACTGATTGTTTTAATGTATATTTTTATTATGTCATTGTATAATGTTCAATCAGTATGTGACACAATAATAAAATAAAATTTATTATTTATGATAGGACAAAAAGTCACAAATAATGTGTTGACAATTGTTTGAATATTTAAGAGAAAGAACTTGAAATATTTTCTTTTTATTACATATATTAATTTTTAAGTTTAGGAAATTGTTCAAAAGCCTTGAAAAATGAAAATTTATTAAATTTTAATCATGCAAAGGATATATTTCTTGGCACAATGAAGCCATTTAAGTACCAAGCCACTTTGACATTTTGTTTTCATAACAATTATTTGATCATTATAATTTATTGATATTTATTGAATAAATTTTAATTACAAAGTTGCTTCATATTTAATCATGTTAATAGTTCAAGAAAAAACAAAAAAAATATTTTTTAAATTAGTGTTTTCTTGTTTTATGAAAAATAATCTCAAAACTGAATTGTGACTTTCTGTCCTAAATTCCATTTAATCCCCCTTTGATCTTCAATATCTAATTTTGCTTAAAATTCATTTTTTTATTATACAGTTTATAGTATATCAACAATACAACTACAATACTGGGTTATCAGTAATGTACCAGTATTGCTGTTTTTTTTTTCTCTAAAAAGTTACAATACTGGTACAAAATTTTTATACCAGTATTGTGCACAATACTGGTATATCAGTATTGCGATCACCAACTACAGGAGATCCGACACACCAAAGGCTGCATCTAATATTTATACATTGTACATCTGCTGTTTTGATTCTTAACAGATTTTTCGTTTGATATTGTGCAGTCTGTTGAAATTGAACTTGTACGTGTATTAAATTGGTTCATAGGCATTCATACCAAATATCTTGTTTGGTATTTTCTCAATAATTACTTAAATATATATCATATAAATGATAATTAACATGATTAAAAAATGATCAGAGGGATTATTGTTATTATTCATGATGATAAGAACAGAGATATACAAAATGTATATATATTTTTTTATATCTCTGATAAAAACAACAATATTCTTAATTTTTGTCGAGCCTGCGACTTTTGTCGCAGAAAGCTCGACATAGGGATAGTGATCCGGCTGCGGCGGCGGCGGCGTTAGCTAACTTCTTAAAAGCTTTATATTTTAGAAGATGGAAGACCTGGATGCTTCATACTTTGTATATGGATGCCTCATGTTACGAAGTTTCCGTCAGTCACATGTCCAATGTCCTTGACCTCATTTTCATGGTTCAGTGACTACTTGAAAAAAAAGTTCAGATTTTTTGTAATGTTAAATTCTCTCTTATTATAAGTAATAGGATAACTATATTTGGTATGTGCGTACCTTGCAAGGTCCTCATGCCCGTCAGACAGTTTTCACTTGACCTCCACCTCATTTCATGGATCAGTGAACAAGGTTAAGTTTTCGTGGTCAAGTCCATATCTCAGATACTATAAGCAATAGGTCTAGTATATTCGGTGTATGGAAGGACTGTAAGGTGTACATGTCCAACTGGCAGGTGTCATCTGACCTTGACCTCATTTTCATGGTTCAGTGGTTATAGTTAAGTTTTTGTGTTTTGGTCTGTTTTTCTTATACTGTATGCAATAGGTCTACTATATTTGGTGTATGGAATGATTGTAAGGTGTACATGTCTAGCTGGCAGGTGTCATCTGACCTTGACCTCATTTTCATGGTTCAGCGGTCAAAGTTAAGTTTTTGAGTTTTGGTCTTTTTTTCTAATACTGCATGCAATAGGTCAGCTATATTTGGTGTATGGAATGATTGTAAGGTGTACATGTCTAGCTGGCAGGTGTCATCTTACCTTGACCTCATTTTCATGGTTCAGTGGTCAAAGTTAAGTTTTTGAGTTTTGGTCTTTTTTTCTAATACTATATGCAATAGTTCAACTATATTTGGTGTATGGAAATATTTTATGATCTATATGTCAGTCACGCAGGTTTTATTTGACCTTGACCTCATTTTCAAGGTTCATTGCTCAGTGTTAAGTTTTTGTGTTTTCGTCTGTTTTTCTTAAACTATAAGCAATAGGTCAACTATATTTGTTGTATGGAAGAATTGTTAGCTGTACATGCCTGCCTAGCA